CCAATCTAGCACACTTCTAGGGTTGACCACCTCCTTCATCAACTGCCCACTGTACACCGACAACTCCAGAATTACATTTCCGACCCAGACCTCTCCCTGATCCCTAGAATTAACAGGATCTTCAACTGCACTCTTAACATCTCCTCTTCAACATTTATGGGGCAGCACCCCTCTCTTAACATGTTGACCCATATTAGAATGTGAAGTCCAGGAGGATAGGAGGGTATCCTGTTTTACTTTCTGGGTAAGAGTTTTAAAATAAATTTAATTTTTTCCCTCGTAACATACTCCTTTCCCAGTGTTCTTTATCTCAGGAAACCACATAACCATTCACCAAGAGAGTGAATATAAAAAAGAAGAGTCACTCTTGATTTGTCTCTTTCTCTCCTCTTCCTCAAGCCATCCAATGTACAGGAATCATGGAGCTCCTCTGTCATGATCAATCTGGATACCTATACCCCTCTCCAGCTCTGCTGTTCTCACTGTAGGAGGTTAAATAATGGCCTTCTAGGTATCTCCATGTCCCAATCCTCTTGTGAATATGTTAGCTTATAAAATAAAAGGGACTTTGCAGGTATGGTTCAGTTAAGAATCTTGAATTCAGGAGATTATCTTGGATTATGTAGATAAACTCAATTTAATCACAAGGGTCCTTATAAGAGAGAAGCAGGAGGATTAGAGTCAGAGACCGAGAGAAGATGTGAGGATGGATGCAGAGATCAGAGGGTAAGAAGATACTACCCTGGCTTTGAAGATAGAGGAAGGGGCCATAAGCCAAGAAATGTAGGTGGCCTCCGAGAACTACAAAAACAAAAACAAAAACAAACAAACAAAAAACAAAGAAACCAATTCTCTCCTAAAGCCTCCAAAAGAATACAGGCATGTCAACACCTTGAGTTTAGTCCAGTGAATTTGATTTGCAATTCTGACCTCCAGGAGTGTAAGATGATACTTTTGTGTTGTTTTAAGGAAATAAGTTCATGGTGGTTTGTTACAGCAGCAATAGGAAATAAGTACACTGTTGTAGTCTAAGACACCACCACCATCTCTCACCTGCACTACTGCAATAGCATCCTAATCTGTCTCTGTGTCCACCTTTTTATTTTCCTTTATTGTGGCAAGAACACTTAACATGAGATCTACCCTCTTTATAGATTTTTAAAGAATTTATTTATTTATTTATTTATTTATTTATTTATTTATTTATTTATTTATTTATTTATTGAGAACGAGTGAACACTGAGCCTGATGTGGGGCTCCATCTCACCACCGTGAGATCATGACTTGAGCAGAAACAAAACTAAGAGTCAGATGCTCAACCAATTGAGCCACCCAGACATACAGATTTTTAAGTGTACAGTACAATATTGTTAACTATAGGCACACTATTGTATAACAGATCTCTAGAAATTACTTATCTTGTATACCTGAAACTTTATAGCCATTGGCTAGCAATTCCCCATGTGTCTCTTTCCTCATCCCTGGCAGCCATTCTATTGTGTTTCTATGAGTTTGACTGTTTTAGATGCCTCATATAAGTAGAATTATTCAGTGTTTGTCCTTCTATGATTGGCTTACTTCACTTAGCATAATGTCCTATGTTGTCAAATATTGCAAAATTACCTGCCTTTTTTTTAAAGGCTGAATAATATCCTATTGTATGTATTCTTTATGCCAATTCTTGAGTCCCACAGTAGTGTGGGTGATGATTTCAAATCCCCGCTCAAAACTGTCCAATGGCTGGCTTTTCATCCATTTGGAATAAAATCCAAACTCCTTACCTTGGATTACAAGGCCCTCTATGGCCCAGGCTACCTGTGCAGCTCTTTTGAATTGCTCTCCCCTTGTCCACCTGTCCAGCCACTCTGGCTCTAGGGATTTGCAGTAGTCATTTCTGCTACCTAGCATTCCTGCCCTCCCAGATAACCAAACTGTTTCTTATATGTCTTTCAGATCTTAACTTTCTAGTTTGTTGTTTGTGTTCACTAGATTTTAAACTTGTTGTAAGAACAGAAAGTGTGTTTGGCACCTAAAGTCTCTACTAAAGTTGCTCCATAAAGTCTCTACTTAAGTTGCTCCATAAAAGGGGAGAGCCACCCCTAGAGAGTATACTCCTGGAACATCTCCTAGGGGTATCTTGTTAGCTGGTGTTTGTATCTTTTTTAGAGAGACCAGGCAAAAGGATTCCCCACCCAGTTTTGCAAAAGGTTGTTTTCTGACTTCTTTGGGTAAAGAGATGGGTTGGATTGTGGATAAAGAATTGAGCCCATTTTGAAAAGGCAGATTGGTATCTGAGTTCACGCATTTTCAAAATGCCATGTCTTCAACTGTATTTTAATTTTGTTCCTCCTTACTAGAAAATTCAGTATCACCTAGCAAGAAGAAACTTGTTTTTTTTTTTTTTTAAGAAACTAACTGAATAGTTTTCAGGATGAAAAATTTAGCATTGTGGTAAAGAGAATTTACCAGGCTTCTACCAGTAGAGGGGGTATAGCTCAGTGGTAGAGCATTTGACTGCAGATCAAGAGGTCCCCGGTTCAAATCCGGGTGCCCCCTTGGCTGCCTTTACTGTTTTTCACAGTTGTTCAGGTATAACTTGGACTTCTGTAGGTTCTGAATCCAAAACTGTTTGGAATCCCAATCTTTCACTTGTCTGATTTCCCCCAGCAGGTACTTGTTCCTTATATCTGAGAAGCAAAGAGCAAAACCCCAGAGGTTGAACGGTGATTACTCTGCCCACTCAGTATATACCCCAACTCAGTGGCAAGAAGCCCACTTGTATGTAAAAAGAAGGCACCAAACTATTTTCATCTCTGAGACTGAGATCTATCAGTTTAATATTAATTATATTTCTCTTTGGGCAATATTATTGCGCTGAGTTCATACTCTGAGAAGACTGTGAGAACAGAATCCCAAGTTCAGAAGGCGTATCTACATGGTTGCGAAGTTTAAGACCCAGCACACAGAGAGAAGATATGTCAAAAGTGAAGGGCTTTCTCCTTCTTTATGTTAGCTCAAAGGGAGGGCTTTGGTTGGATAAAACTACAGGTGGTAAGTTTGAGGCCTGGTGTCCAGAAACGGGGTGAAAACCTGGCTATATCTTGGGACTGGGCTTTTCACCCGACAGTGGCTCTGCTCAATCTCAATATCTATCTAGACTTTGAATGCCTCTCACATTTATGAAAGCTATGGGGAAAAATGCACTGGAGTATTCCCCAGGGGCCCCGAAGGATGACACAACCAGATTCCCGGTTTAAAATATCACAGCTGCCCCCTGACCCAGGCAGCATGTCTCTCCCTTTCTCCTTTATTTTTCCTTTTTTTGGGCAAAATCTAGTCGAGGGGGTTGCCCTTGTTGATTTAACACAATGTTTCCCTGTAGCCCAACAGTGATAATTGTCAGTCATGAACCCAATAGATATCTGCCCTACCTTGTGAAACTCAATTGCCCCCTATTACCAGTTCAGCAGTTCTCAAAGTGTGGAACCCTGACCACCACCACCACCAGCAGCAGCAGCAGCAGCAGCAGCACCCGCACCCAGGAACTGGTTACAAATGCAAATTCTTGAAGTTCCACTCCCGGTCTACAAAATCAGAAAGAAACTGGGGGTGTCTTAACAAGCTCTTTTGGTAATTCTGATTCACGCTCAAGTTTGAGAGTCAGGGCATCAGTATATATCAGTTTGCATCCGGATGTAACTTTATTTTTATAAATTAAAATGAGCCTATGGGTGTGCATTCGCTATTTTAACATTTTCCAAGTGCTTTCACCCTGCCTGCGTCATGAGCAATAGGGAAGGGTGAATATAGCAGGTCCATGACATTGTTAATAAAGAAAGTTGAAGTAGGGGAAAGGTGTTTGTGGGTTTCCTTATCTTGACCGTCCACCTCCCTCATCGGAAATGGAAAGCCAAATTGGGGGGTGGGTGGGTAATCTTGTTCCCCGATCCCAGCGTGAGGCTGCTTGGCAGCGGCCACAGAAACCCTGACTCTTCTGGCGCGGATAATAGGGACACGCAGCTTTTGTACTTGGATTTGTGCGTGCACCCAGTCCTTCTCCTGGTGGGTACAAAGCAAAACTGAAAGCTTTCTGCTAAGGTTGGAAAACGCGGAAGGCATTTAAAAAAAACCCTACTTTCTGTTTTCTCTTAACTTAGGATCCAATGTTTAATAGCTAATCCAAGTTGTTAAATGCTCGTCACAGCGTGGAGGAAAAACCACGAAGGGGGCACCCGGATTTGAACCAGGGACCTCTTGATCTGCAGTCAAATGCTCTACCACTGAGCTATACCCCCACGTCGCTGCTGCGCCTGGACATGACTCTTTTGGGTGCTAAGACATTACTACACTAAGAGTAGGGAATAAGGAGAAAGGAATGAAGGAAGAAAGGGGGCCAAGCGGAAAGCAGATGGTGTCCGGACCCGGAGAACCCTGGGACAGCGACAGGACAGAGGTCGGGGAGGGAAGAACTAGCCGGGGCTACAAGGAGCTGTACGGGTTCCGCCCTACAAATGTGGGAAAGGATGTGGGGGGAAGGGAGGCTAACTAAGGGGCGGGGCAGGGGCTTCCCGTTCTGTCCGCAGGTTCACGCCAGGTACCGACAGGCACAAAGGAAAGTCCCCGAATCTGGTGAATCCGATCGGGCGTTCAGGAGGGTTCTAGCCCCACCCTCAAGGTGCGAGGGCTTTGCCCGCCTCCCGCAGCCCGGGCGCCCCAGATGTGCAGCCAGACCGGCTCCCCGCCGCCTCCAGCGCCGCGGGGTCCCTGGCCTCTGGGCGCGTTTCTCCCCGCACCTTCTGCTGGAGGGCGCCCGCGCACGGGGGACCCTCTGGACGCACCTAGGCGCGCGCCCCCTGCCCAGCCGCCCTCCCCGGAATCCGCCCCCGCGCAGCCCCACGTCGCCCGGGAAGCGCGCCGCCCGCGCGCGCCCCTGCCCGCGCCCGCGGCGCGTCCCCGCCCCGGTGCAGCCCCTCCTCCCCGCTGTGTTTATTAGGGGAAGGAGGGCGGAGGCGGAGGCCAGTTCCCTAGCTCCAGCCGCCGTCGCCGCTGCCTGTGTAGTTGCAGCAGCGGCCGCCTCCCGCCAGCTCGCTCCGGGGAAAGAGAACGCGCGCGAGCTCGGGCGTCCCCGCCCCAGCCCTTCCCGGAGCCATGAATCCCAACTGCGCCCGGTGCGGCAAGATCGTGTACCCCACGGAGAAGGTGAACTGTCTGGATAAGGTGAGCTCCGGGATCGGGAGGCGCGTCCTCGCAACCCCCGAGCAATGCTCCGGATTAGGGGAGGAGAGAAGGGCCGGGTCTGTGCCGCCTCAACCCCGCGATCCCGGGAGGAGGGAGGGAGGGCGGTGTCATGGGGTGTGGGGACAGACCCCAGTCTGGAGACGGGGGATGTGCGGCGCGGCAGGGAGTCCACGCTTGGCGGTTGCCACTACTGGAGAATAGTGGGCTCTGAGCCCTGGGGCTGGGAGGACGGAAGAGGAGTGGGGAGGCCAGGCCCCGGGGTGGGGGGTGGGGGAAGGTTAGGGGTGCAGTCCCGCCCCCTAGGGCCGAGAGAGTGAGAGGAGACGGCCGCTCCCTCTCCCCGCCGCGCTGAGCGCCAAGTAGGCGGAAGCGCCGGGCGCTGGGGGAGGGGGAGGGGGGAGGGGGAGGGGGCGGCGGGGGGGGCGGGGCAGAGGTTGGGGGGCCCAGCGAAACCGTCAGCGCTGGCCGCAAATGGCCGGACTTCGTGGCCTGGAGACCGGGGGGCTGGGGCTATCAGGCGCGAGTGTTGCATGTGATGAATTGGGCTTCGGATAAGGACCCAAGCCCCACCTTTTTTTGGACGACCTGTACCCCCTCGGTGGTTCAGGGCTTAAGGGACTAGGAGATATCCTCCATCGCTTCCCAGCCCCCACCTCAAATTAGAAGCCAACTCCCGGGGCTAGGCCGCCCAGCCAGAACGGGGCGGGGTCGGGTGCTGGAGTAGGGTGGGGGGGGGTGCTTTGCAGAGATCTCTTGAAATTGTGCACAGAGGCTGAGACTGGCCTGTAGAACAAAGAGCTAACTTTTCAAAGCAGGTTTCCCCAATGGAGGGTGGGGTTGGCTGAGTTCTGGGGAAGCCAAGAAGGGAAGGTGGCCTTCTGGAAATTCACGGTCCCCCGGGGGCCTTTACTCGTCGTCTCCCCCCCACCCCCCCATCCATGCTGGACTTGTTCATCTGGTTGCTATTATACTTTTGGAGGGGGTTGAAGAGTAGCACTGGGTGTTTCCAGCAGTTTGGGGTAGGATAGGTCTTTTAAGCTCCCTAAGATCCTAAGGCGATGCCTCCCCTCTGCATCTCCTCCCCACTCTGGAAGAGAGGGCTCTGTGGTTTTGTCTCCTTCCAAAGCTGACTCCAAATCCAAATATCCCTTCTGACCTGTCTGAACTGGCAGAGGTTGGGGGGGCATGGAATGGAAGAGTAGTGAGTGCAGGGCCCTGGGGCCAACTTCATTGCACACCTGGAGCCAGGTTTTGTTTGGGAAAGAATAGTTCATTGGATACTTTTTGTCTCTTCCCTCCCCCTTGTTGTTGAAGCTTCCTCAGTGATCTTTAGCCTGTCTATGAGTCAGGGCCACGGGTATCATTCCCAGGTACAGAAATACATTTGAACTTGCTTTTGGAGTCAGGAGGTATATGGGGCTGCTGCTGTTCCATCGTCTCTCCTGGGCTTGGCTGGGCAGGAGGACAGGAGGGCCATATTGTGGGCCCAAGCAATGAGGGTGCTGACCTTCCCAAAGACCGCGCCAATTTCTGGCAGGCAGGACTTGAACTTGAAGGCACTAGCTGAAGAACTCACTGTCCTTGCGCACTGGGATTTTGGCCTTTCCTTGATGGGAGGGATTTTGTCTTCTGCATCTTACATTCCACATGCCCCCCACCCCACCCTCTTATTCTCCATAGTCATGAACTGGGAAGAGGCTGTGGGCTCTTTCACCCATATAAGGCAGAAGCAATATATGGTGGAGGGATTGCTAGGCCTGGAGTTGGGAGACTTGGCCCTGGTTCCAGGTCTGCTCCCACCAGCTTTATGAATGGCTGTAGGCCTCAGTAGTCACCATCTGTCAGATGGGTATGAATGATATGATTTCCTTGGAGGCAGGGCAGTGTGCTGAAGTGCCTGCCAAAGTGCCTGGAAGGGGATGTGATATAGGCTGTGTCCTCCCTATCTTTCTGGGTTACTTGGTCCATCCCCACACCCAGCTCCCACATAAAGTCTTTTGGTGCTGTGTGCCAGAGGTGAGGGGGTAGGGATCCTGCAAGGTGCCTTCTCCAGGGGTTCTCTTGCCCTAACTGGAAGAGGACATTCAGGTGGGGTTGCCCTGGGAAGTGGGTGTTGGTTAGTCTTCCCTCTTTTTAGAGCTCTCCTTACAGGAAGTGTCCCTGGGGACACCTCCCCCACTCTTGCACTGAGCTGGAGGCCTAGAATATTCAGGTATCAGACCTGTTCCTCCAAACCCTCTACAGGCAATAAAGCCAAGCACCTGGACTAGGGACCTGGTGCCCAAAGGACTGAAACTTGGGAGGAAGAACATACAGTCTTATAGGTGTGGTTGCTAACCAACTTCCCAAGGCCTCCCATTTACTATAGGAGAGAGTCAAATTAGATTCATTTCACTATAATTTCCTGATGGTACATAGCTCACGATGTGACCCAGAGCACAAACTACGTCCTTGCTGTTAGCTTTTTCTTCTCCCTGAGCCTTATCCCCCAAGGGCTTAGGTGGGTAGAGGCCATGTCACTTCTGATAGCCACCCTGCCCCCCACCTGCAGTACCCAGTGTGCTGTGCATGCTGAATAAATATGTATTGCTGATGATGGCGTTCGAGGAAGGAGATTGAAATGTGCTTCCCCAGAGGACTTCTGGGCTTAGAGTTGGGGGAGAAATGGGGTGACCTCATTCGCTCATTCATTGGACAAATATTTATTGAGCACTTGCCTTGTGCCAGGCTCAGCCTGTGAATGGCTGCTGCAGGGCTTTTGGGGAGGAAGGGAGTCTGTGTCTCAAAACATCCTCCTCTACATTTTGAGAAGGGTGAAGTTTTGTCCCCAACCCTGTTGGGAAGTGACCCTGTTGGGAAATGACCCTGTTGGGAAGCATTTGCATCTGGGGATCTGTACTGCAAGAGTGCTGTCCCCTGGTTTACTTCCCCAGGCCCCAGAAAACAGGTGGAGACCTTGCGGAAGGCTAGAGGGTTAGCAGGCTGCTAGTTCTCCCTGGAACGCCTCGTTGGTAGGGCTCTCCGTCTCTGGTGGTCTGAGCCACCCCCACAGGGGGTAACAAGGCCGAAGGCAGCTGGGCAAGACACCATGTAGCCTCAATGTCCCACTTTCCCAGCTGACGCTGAGAATACCCAACAATCACTTTTTGATCATCCATTCACAGTAGCTACTCCTTCCTGCTACGTGCCAGGTTTGGTCTTCACAAAACAGATGTGATTGCTCCTGTAGATGATAAGCCCCAGAAATGGAGGCTCAGACAGATCATGTGGCTCATTCCCTGCTCAGCCAGAGCTGAAATCCTAATCTGAAGTTCTTTATGCTCAGCGCTTGTGTTTGTTGTGTTTGCAAAAGGTACCTTTATCGACACTGTCTCACAGTGTCTATAGCAGTCCACTCCTTCCTGACTCTGGCCTGAGGAATGTTCTGGGCCTGGGCTCCTGTGTGGAGCTGGGGCGCTAGGAATAACCATCTTCCCCTGGAAAATTGGGGAGGTGCACCCAAGGCCTGTTCCTTTTAGCCAGCAGCCCAGGTGGCCAACCGAGCTAGGATGGTGACCCGGCCCTGCCAGGGGATGGCCTGGGTACAGCTGGAGTTGTTCCTGGAGGGGGACGGGAGACACTGTAACCCTTGGCAACAGAGAGGGAGAAAAGGGCCTCATACTCCAACCCTGAGTCATGGCCACCCCAGGCAGCCTGGGTTCAGAGGGCAGGGTGCCTGGCTGCAGGCACAGTGACCTGGAGATCACTGCATCTCCCTCCCCCAGAACTGTGAGCAGCCACTTCCCCCACTTACACAGTGATCTCAGAGAGAGAGAGAAAGAGAGGCTGGCCCAAGGCCTTGACCAAGTGTGGGGGATCTTGCTTCTGTCCCGCTCAGCTTCCATTTGGCCTTCTGTGGAGTGGGTTTTCAGTAGAATGGGTTGCAGCTTTGGAGATGCACCTGAAGAATGCTGAGGGCACCATTGGAACCTGGAAATGGACAGAGGTTTCTAACTGGCCCCAGAGGCTGGTTTTTGTGATTAGGGAAGCAGTGGACTTCTAGGGCAGCAGGAAGGATTAGAGTGGCACACCCGGAGGTGTACTTTGCTCCCCTGAGACTAGAGTCTCAGGAATGCATCTCCGCAAGTCTTATCTGGGGCCTCCAGGAAAGGTGGCTGGGGGAGAGGGTGGGGGGGGGGATGACACTCTTACTCTGGGATAGGGCGTATGGGGCAGAGGAGGGAAGTAGACAGGTCACTGGGGTTGTACTGATTTATTTCCCCATGCCCTTCGCCAGACGTGATTGAAATAGGGATGGGATTTCCTTGATCTTGGGATCCCCTTGGTGTCCCCAGCTCAGGCTTGGCTCACAGGGGCTGTTGGGTGACTTACCGCCTTCTGCTCTCCCCATCTACTCCCCCTGCCCACCCTTGTCCAAAGAGACAGTAGTGGGAGCTACCAGATTTTCTTTAACCTTGGAGCCCTCCTCTAGAGGGAGGAGGGAAGTGACGGGATCTGTGCTGGGCTTGGAGCCTGCATCTGGGTCATCTCATCCCTCCCATGCCCCCACCCCACACCTCTGTGAGACCACTTTTCAGGGCATGGAACCTGAGTTCAGTAGACATGCTGAAGGCAATCAGGCCACTCTCATTTTCATTATCCTGCTCCTGAGCTCTGTAAGGGAGCAAGGCACTACTGCCTGGGCCTCTAACATGCTTAGCTGAGAGCACGGTGTCTCTGGGGGTGAGGGGGGGAAGAACTACTGATGGAAATGGGTACCATCCCCTGCTAGGGGTTCCCCTTCCTCCAAAAGGCAGCTAGGAGGTTTCTTGTGGCGCTCCTGTACCCCCAGCCTGGCCAGCATGCTCTGCCCCCCTTCCTGAGGGTGGGGACATCCAGGGTGGGGACTAGGCCATCTGCTAGGATTGAGCTGCCTCCCTCTTGCCCTGTGTCTCCCCCACGTCAATCAGGAGGCAGCTTTGGAGGTCCCCAGTCCTAGGACAGTGCATATTCCTGCATATGTGTGTGTGAAAGTGGGTCATGGTCCGGATTCCAGAGAATGTTTTTCCTGGCAGGCCCCTGAGGGGGTGGGGGGGAGGCCAGGAGGCCCAGGCAGGGGCCTGTGCAGCTAGGCAGGCAGAGGCCAGCAGACTGGGTGGTGACAGGGCTGGGGCACTCTGCCAGCACCTCCCAGGCATTGGGGGAGTGAGAGGGGCTGTCACTTTGGGGCGCTGATGGGGGGCAGGGCCTACCCTGTTCTGGTTTCCCAGCCAGGTTGTGTGTGCCTGGGTTTTGTACTGGCAGGAGTCTGGGCTGGGCTCTGGGATAGGCCCAGGTTGGGGTGAGGGCCAAGCTTACACTAGCCATCCCTTTGCTCCCAGACTTCAGCTGGCCTTCTTCCCAAAAGTGTGGTTCTCCTATCACTTCCTTTACTATTCCACCTTTGGCAAGTCTACTTGGTAGGGAAAGGACTCTGTTGGAAGGTAGTTACCCCCAAATTATCCTCTGGTCTCTGGTTGAAGTGGGCCAGGGTTGAAGAGGTGATGTCCCAGTCCCTCAGCTTCCCTTTTTTTCTGTCCCCTCCTCCCAAGTGTCTCAGAAGCGCCCCTTGGCTGGGCAACACGTTTTGAAAAGCACTGACTCTGGGGAATTCCTTAACAGATGGCCGACAAGCAGCTCTGTGCTGGGCACCTTCGGAAGTCTCCCTGGGCCCTTCCCTGGCTTCTGGCCTCCTTCTTTGAGGGGTCGGGAGTGTCTTCCTCTGATCAATGGAAATGGGGCAGATAGACCAGCCAGGCTACCACACAGCCCAGCTTCGGGGGTCCTGGAGGCTGGCCTCCCAGGGCTGTGTCGATCCTGGGGCCTCATCCTGGGCTGACGGGCGGTCAGTTTCTATCTCATTTACATGGGTTGGCCTGAGCATCAGCTTTTCTCAGGATGGGGGCACTTCTATGGCCTCGGGCCCCCTTCCCTCCTGGTCTTTGTTTTTTAAAGATTTTATTTATTCATGAGAGACACACACAGAGAGAGAGGCAGAGACCCGGGCAGAGGGAGAAGCAGGCTCCAGGCAGGGAGCCCGACGTGGGACTCAATCCCGGGACTCCAGGACCATGCCCTGGGCTAAAGGCAGGCGCTAAACCACTGAGCCACCCAGGGATCCCCCCTCCTGGTCTTTGACTCTGTTCCCTGGTTTGGTCCCTGGGTTTTGCTGAAATCTTATCTGTCACTCATTGGCACACCCGATGTAGCTGTGGTTGGGCCACCCCACCTGCTCCCCAGCATATGCAAACCTCCACCATGAGCCACTGAGCTCCCTGGGCTGGGTTTGCACCTGTCTCAGTGCTCAGCAACTAACAGTCAAGTCCTTGGAGGGGCCAAGTGCTGTGCTGAGTGCTTTACAGGTGATTTCTCATTTAATCTTCACTGTTAAGATTTTATTTATTTATTCATGAGAGACACACAGAGAGACAGAGACGAAGGGAGAGGGAGAAGCAGGTTCTCCACTGGGAGCCCGATGTGGGGCTCGATCCCAGAACCCCGGGATCATGGGGTCTAAGGCTCCAACGTGGAGCTCCAGCATGAGCCAAAGGCAGATGCTCAACCACTGAGCCACCTGGTTGCCCTGTTTTCCTTATTTTCATTCTACGGACCTGGAAATGGCTCAGAGGCATAGGCCCTGACCAAGGTCACAAGCTGGTCAGGGTGGAGCTGGGATGTCCACTGTGGGGCGTTTTCACCTCCAAGCAAGGCTCTGTAGTGACTCAGAGGGAGAGCAGTTGGGACGTGCTGTCCCACCAGTTGTCTGGCTGGGCTGGGAGAAGGATGAGGAAGGGTAGGAAGAGTTTGGGTATGGTGACTAGAGCTTGGGACACCCACCTCCCACTCCAGGTTCCCCAGGAAGTGGGAGGTGAGAGCTGGAACGGTCCTGGGGCCTCGTGGGTATCGTCTTTGTCATGGGTGTCTCAGGGCCCTGGAGCGGGGAGCAAGGAGTGCCAAGGTGGCTGGGGCCCTCCTCCTCTTCTCTACTCCCTGTCAAAGCTGAGGAGCTACTCTTCCAATGGCTTCTTAGCAACCCTGGTGCGGCTTTGCATAAGCAATGAGGCTTCTCCAGCTTCCGTGTGTGTGTGTGTGTGTGTGTGTGTGTGTGTGTGTGTGTGTGTGTGTGTTTGCGCGCGCATAGGGGCAGAACTTGGGGAGGTGGGGCCCGCCTTCTGGGGGCAGCTTGTCCCTGCTGTATCTGGCCTCTTCCTCACTCCCTCTTAGCTCACACAGCTGGCCAGTGGGAAGTGGGGGCAGAAAGGGGAGAGTCAGCAGGTGCCGGAACCACTGAGATGGCCCCAGCTCACCCAGAGTGATTCCATGTTCCAGTCCCTGGGACCGAGTGCCCCTCCCTGAAGTCCTGGTTCTGACGGCTGTCCTCCCTCTGCTTCTGTCCCTAGTTCTGGCACAAAGCATGCTTCCACTGCGAGACCTGCAAGATGACACTCAACATGAAAAACTACAAGGGCTATGAGAAGATCCCCTACTGCAATGCGTGAGTCCTGCCTCCCTCCCTCCCTTCCCCCTTCCTCCTGTTCCCCGAGGCTGCCCAGCACTCCTGCACCCTACCTGATAAGCACTCATCATGCTTAGTCCTCACCTCAGCAGAATGAAGTAAGGGCTGCTGATATGCCCATTTTACAGGGAGGGAAACTGAGGCTGGGGAAGGGACTGGATTTGCCCCAGATGATGTGGCCGTGAGAAGCTAGTTCAAACCCAGGCAAGCAAGTGAACCCAGTAAACATTCTGGTCTCTGCGAAGCAGGCCTGACCCTTCTGTTGCACCCCGCCGTGCGAGAGGGGCCTAGCCTGGTCCTTCAGGGGACTGTCCTCTGGCCTGTTGTGAGAATTGTCAGTTTTGCCTTCCCTTGGTTTTGCCTCCCCTCATCTCCCTCTCTTACCCGCCCTCTGCCAGAGGTTCTGGGTACTAGGCTCTGGGGGCTTCCGGCTCTAGCACTTCCCTGTGTTCATCCCTTGAGAACTGGGGGCAATGTTCAGGGGGTGCCCAGCCTGGGGGCAGATCTCTTCCCTCCCTGCCTGGTGAAGGAGGCTGTGGATTCCAGTGGAGTTGGCTGGGGCTCTGTTTCTTTTACACTGGGACCTGCAGCCTATCCTGCTGTGAGGAGAGAGGGAGAGGTGGGGAACTCACTCCATCCAGGACACCCCCCTCCCGTCCCATGCAATTCCAGAGAGCACACCACCTTCCACCTGCATGTTGACCTCATATGTAGCAAGTTGACTTCATCTGTAGCAAGTGTAAACCCAGTGTGGGGGAGGGGACACACACACACACACATACACACACACACACACCCTCATGGCACCCTGCCCCCTCCCCCTCCCGCTCTGCTAGGTGAGGGCTTCAGAAGGTCAAGTCACTAAGCAGTGGCAAAATCAATATTCAAAGAATCCAGCATCTGACTTGAGTCTAGGCTTTTTCTCAGTCAGGAGGCTCTCCGAAGCCGAAGTTTGCCAAGGAGGGCAGTGCTGGGACTTGGCTAAAAAGGATGGGGGGCTTAAACCCCTTTGAAAGGCAGTCTCTCCTTTACGGCACCCCCAGTGCCCTCTTAATACCACAGTGTCATCTCCCTGGGGTTTGAACCTTCATCAGGCACCTACTGCCTGCCAGCTGCTATGTCCCAACTGGTGCCAGGTGCTGGGAAAGGAGATTTCTGACACAAATCTCAGGCCCAAGAAGCAGCTTGGACATTGTCCCTTCTGGGAGGGACTGGCGCACCAGAAGGTTGCCCCTGGGTAGAAGGAGGGTCACAGCTCTGTCCTGGCTCCTCCTTCAGCTGCCTCTGCTCTTCTATTAGCTTCCACTGATCCTCTTCCCCCTACCAAACCCTCCCAACCCCCCAAGGGAAATGGGACATTCTTAGGATTCTTAAAGGCTCACACAAGCCCTGATTCTCTGCCACTTCCTCCCTCCTCCCTCGGATGAGGAGTGGGGTGGGGTTCAGTAGAGCCCAGAGGCTGGGGCAGCTTAACCCCTTCAGGACTGGACCACTCAAAGCTAGATTCTGGGCTCTGAGGCTCCTCTGGGGGCAGCTGCTGAGCCTCTGCCTCTCTAGGCAGAAGCGGGGCCTAGCCCAGAGCCTGGTGGGTGGGCACAGACTGATGCTTACTCACGTCTTTTCCTAAGACTCTAGTAGCCTAGAATTCAGTGAGCATTGGGAGTTGGTGAAAGAAGTCAGGTTTGTCCTTGTTTTCTCTGCGTTTTTTCAGCCTGATGCCAGAGTCCCAGCTTAGCTCTTCTAACTTCTTCTGGAGAGGCCGCAGCAAGCAGGGGGGCTGGGGGACTCCTGCAGGTGTTGGGGTCTCCAGGAGAGGCAGGAGATGAAGCACCGCTTCCGGGATGTTGCTTCCAAACTGCCCAGGCAAAGGTTCCTGGCTCCCTCACCCCCACCCTGGCCATAGGAGCAGGTTGGCCCTTCTCTGTTTCCCCAGCCTTTACAGCCCTAGCCTCTGCCCAGTTGACCTTTGGCTCAGCTGGGATGTTATCTAGGGAGGACTCTGAATGAGAGCCGAGATCCTCACTTCAGCTGGGAGTGAGCAGAGTAGCACCTTGCCCCAGGCATTCACATTCCCTCAGTGGGGGCGACTGCGTCGCTGTAGAGCAGCTAGTCTGGGCCAGTAAACCTGACATAGCGAGTCCACAATAAGCCAGATGTAGTGGGCCTGGCTTGCGAGCAGTACCCTCTGGACTTGTCTGAGCTTCAGTTTCTCCAGTTACAAATTCCTACCCAGGGGTGCTGGCCCCTAGACCAAAGAGTATGAGCACCTGCCATGTGCCATGTGCACTGGGCTGATGTCCCCTCCTCATTCCCTCCTGTGTCCTTTCTCCTCTGGCCCCATCTTCCAGTGACATTCAGGTTCCTGAGTCGTGGGACTTCCCAGGGTGTAGCTTTGCCCCCACTCCCATCTTGGCCTCGCTTTGTAGACCTCAGGCCTGGCTTCCTTCCTTCTCAGCAGTACCTCCTGCTCAAGACTCAGAGGGACCAGTGATCTCTCCTAGCCCTTTGCTAGGGAGTTGGACCCACTTGGTGAGTGAGTGTGTGAGTTTGGTGTGCAGGGAGGCTTCTATGTTGTGCCTATTTCTGGCCAGTCTCTGAGCCAGGATCTTGCAAGGGGGTGGTCAAGAGAGAAGAAGGCTGTCTGTCATTCCCTGGTGGCTTCTCAAGACTGAGATTTTAATATTTTCTAGAAAGTGACTGTAAGCAGCAAAAAGGCCTCTTCAGTTTCTCTCCTTGCACCAGACTTGTTTTGGGCTTAGCCAACAGAGAGAACACGGGCTAGAGCTCACAGCCAGCCTGCTGGGCCGTCATGGACCCCCACAGACATGCCCTTAAATGCATACCTGGTGCATATCCAGACACACACACTTATTTGGGTGTGGGGCCGGGAAGAAATGCCAAGTCAGACTGAATAGGCTGCGTTTGTGTTCACATTCCCCAGGCACAGCCAACCAGGCATTGCTGTGGCAAGGTAGAGGTGCACCTTTCCACTTTTGCACCATGGCTGGTGGTGCAAGAACCACTGTCAATCAAGTTCTTTGGTGAAATTTCTAGATAAGTGGAGTGAGTCTGCTCCCTCTGTTAGAGGAATATTTATGCCCTCCGTTATTTGTTTTGTAAACTACCTTTTCTGAAAGTGTGGCTGATGGGCTGGCACGCACAAACCTGCCCCTTTGTCTCCATGCAAATAGTCTAGGAGTGTGGAGGTCAGGGGTGGGATGGGGGTGGGGAGAATGTGGCCTTTCCTCCCTCTTCGGGGCCATGAGTTAATGTAGCCTGCACACCTGAGGCAGAGATTCAGGTTAGGGGAACCAGCTTTTGGGGCTGTCAAGTGTGGGGGTGGACATGGATGAGGCAGGCCAGGGAAGAAAGGGGGCACACTCAGAAGCACCCTCCCCCTCTTCACCGCCTGCCTACAGACTTCTCTCGTCCTTCAGTTTCCTTGAGCTCTGTGGTGAAGGGCTAATGAGGATGGAGATGGCTCTGGAAAATAAGGGACTGTCATCCTGCTCCTTCCCTCAGGTCTCAGAGTGTGTGAGGCCTGTGCTGGTGAGGTTCGGTGCTCAGAGTGTCCCTGGATTCATTGGTGGGTGGATCCAGGACTGGGGTCTGGGGCTTTGCTGCTTCCCTCTTCCCTGCCTCTGATGGGGAGAAAATGGGATCAGATGTCCCAAGGAGTGGGTGTAGCACCAGGAGTGGGAGTGAGAGGATGTGATGCGAGTTGGGGAGGGAGGAGGCAGGGTCAATGGTGCATCCACATGGCCAGATGCAGCACTCCCCTTCCCCCGGGCCACCACTCTCATCCCCAAAGTCTTACCCTCAGAGATGTTAGGGCCTCAAGGAAACTCAGAGACCACTTTGTTTCTTGATGCCTCCATTTTATTTTATTTATTTTTAATTTTTTTAAAGATTTTTTTAAGGATTATATTTATTTATTCATGAGAGACACACAGAGAGGCAGAGACACAGGCAGAGGGAGAAGCAGGCTCCATGCAGGAAGCCCGATGCGGCACTCTATCCCAGGACCCTGGGATCATGACCTGAGCCGAAGGTCAGTTGAGCCTGAGCTCAACTGTTGAGCCACCCAGGCGTCTCTGATGCCCCCATTTTATTTTATTTTTTTGGTTTGATGCCCCCATTTTAGAGATGAGGAAACTGAGGCCCAGTTTGCATGCCTTACCCAACTTGGCAGAATCATTTTTCTTTGTGTACTGCCATTGGGGACAGCTACCAGCTTTGATTTTTCATCTGGTCTCTGATACCTGAGGGCTGGTAAATTCTTCATGTCTGGCCTTGATCTTTCTGGCTGCTAATTTTTTTCGACTGGTCAAACAGTGCTTCCTTGTTGTCTCCTATCCCCACCATTTCAGCCCCTCAGGCCTGGGGGACTGGGGAGAAACTGGGTTAGAAAGTAGCCCTCCCCGCTGGCCCGTGGGCAGCCTTCCCAGCAGGGGAATCAGCCGCTCCTTCCAGAGGCAGGATGCAGGGGCTATTTTTTTTTCTTTTGGTAAAACCAAAGGCTCCTTGTTGCTTTTGTTGATGTATTTTTGTTCCTCCCTGAACAAAAAGCTGTAGTTTTTGAAGGGGTCCAAGGCTGAAAGGGGCAAGGTTGCTTGTAGAAAGGGAGAGCCGGGCTTTCTGGTCTATTCTAGCTTGGCCTCTGGAATGCAGCTAAGGGCAGGAGCGGGAGTGGGGCCGTGCCCTCCAAGCTGTCCCTGTCTCCAGTGTGCCTGAAGCCTGAGCCTGGCAGCTTCTCTGCATCCCACCTGTCCTCATAGTCCTTCTGATCAGGAAGGTGACTCAGAGGTCCTCAGGGAAAGCCCCTGAGAGGTGGAGGACCCTCCTCCTGCATCCATGTGGGTTGTTGGCTGGACTCTTGAGATACCTGCTTTAGAAAAGTTTTAAGGAGTAGGTGGCTTCGGCCTGTCTGCCTGCCTTCTGACCTCCAGAGGGTCTCTCATGATGACCAAGCTGGGGGAACTGGTGGGGTTTGAAAGATAAAGTACTTCATTCTCCACCCGCCCCACCAAGCACATCTTTCCCCAGAGCTCTGAGAGCTGGGGGTGGACTGGGGTCCATCTGAGAGAGATGTCAGCCTGCCCCTAGATGCCTGGGCACCGGTGGGGAGAGGGGAGTGCACGGGGCAAGGTCTTTGTCCTTGACACTGAGCATCAGCTTCTTTATCTGTAAAACAGACACAGTGATAATACCTGCCTTTTCTAACCCAAAACCTTGTAGCAGTTTTCACGAGAGAATGTGCACAGGATACAGTCTATCCAGAAGTCACTTGGTGTTCCTCTAAGTTCTCCCAGAGGCCCAGGCTGCTGCCAGCCACTGCCTGATTGCCCTGCTGGTCCCTGATCTTGCCCTCATGGATGCTAGATCCCTTTCCCGGCAGCCCCCCACCCCTACCCCTCCCCAGGCTTCCTGCCCTAGTGGACTTGGACAGTCTGCATGTCTCCCTCTCCCCCAGAGCAGCTGATACCGCAGTCAAAGGTGGGGAAGGGCGTCAGGAGAGGGCCCACTGCCTGGAATGATAACAAGGGGCTGGTGCAGCCCGGCCACCAGAAAGGACAAAGAACAACCATGCTCTGCACCCAGCTCCAGGTAGGGTTGGGACACCCAATTCTTCCCACCCTGGCTCCCTGCTCCCTCACCATGGTCTGGCCTGTTGGTGGGGCTGGGGTGCCAGCAGGGTCACTAGCTGGGGTGATGACCCCCCATCTGCCTCAGCGCCCACATGGGCAAACACACACACATCTGTTCGCCGACCGGAATCTGAGGGTGATGGGTGGGGAGAGCTTCAGTCTGAGGACAGAGGGAGGCAGAAGGTGGAATTCCCAGCAGCTTCTCCGGAAGGAGGTCAAATCAGTTGCAGCCCTCTTGGAAGGCAGTCATGCTGGTGGGGGAAGGGCACAGCACCGACATTTGGGGTCCTCCCCCCGAAACAGTGTCTCCTGTCGTCCTCACTGCCACGGTCTCCAAGGATCCTGCATCCGTAGTCTCCTGGTTTGGCCCTCATGGGCTCCTCTGCAGCTGAGGACACCCTTGCCGTGGGCGCCTCCCCCACCCCCACAGACTCTCTGTGTCTGCTGCTCCTGCCTGGAGCTGAGGATGGGGTTGCTATGGGAACCTGAAGCGCAGTGAGCAAGGGAAGGGAAGGCGGGGAAGGCACGGTTGTCTCGCCAGGGCTGGGGGCTGTGGGGAGGGGACGGGTTTGACCGAATAGATGTCTGCCTGCCTTCCTCCGGCCCATGGTTGTGTCTAGGAGGTGGGGTAAGAGACTGGAGGTTCTGGAGCTCCACTATAATCTAGTTAATCTGATGCAGGATTAAAATCTTCCCTACTTCCCCCCCTTCCTGCCAGATTAAGCTGCATGCGCATCTAGGTTCAGCTCCCCTTCCCTTCTGATGGGATTGGCGTTTTGGCCGTGGGGTGCTTAGATCTGGGGCGGGGGGGGGGGGGGGGGGGGGGATGGTCATGATGGCTCCAAAGAGAAGGTGAAACACCTGGCAGTATCATCAAGAGACACTTGCTGCCTGTTGGGGTGGATCTCCCGATACCCTTCTGGTGCAGTGGCAGAGATGCGTGAATGTGGCCTGGAACGCGTGCTGTCGGGTGTGGACCTGCTGGCCGTAGGCGTCTAGGAGACACGCATGGTTGCAGAGGGCCCATCTCTGTATTCACTGCGTGTGAGGAACACGGCGGCATGTGTACACCGTAGAAGCCTCAGAAAACTGCAGAGTGGAGGGTGCACGGCAGGTGCCTGCATCTGGCTGTCCTTGGACCACGGGAGCTGGCCCTCCATTTTCACCTTGTACATTCAGGCACATGGGAAAGCCCAGGTTTGCAGACTGGCTCCAGAGCATGGGTGTTTGCTGAGCCCACCGGCCACCCTTCCCCACCAAGTGCTAAGCAATGCCATTGCCGAACAGACCCTTCAAGTCCTGGGCCAGAGCTGCCTGGGGTGGGGGTGGGGGTGTCTTCCCTTCCTTCCTCTGGTGTCAGGACCTTACCTCCCTCCTCTGCCACATGAGTCTCTACTTACAGGGTGCTCTCCTCACCTCCATGACACTTTCAGAAGGACTCTGATTTGGTGGGAGGGTCATCTCTGAAGCTTTCCCTCCCGCGACCTTAGCCATTTCTGCTAAAGATCTTACTTGGATGCCTCCTGCTATTCTCTTTCTGGTATCTGGGAACAGACTCCCAATGACCCTCCCTTTTTCTGGAACTGCTAAGGAATTTTGAATGGAGCACCTCACCTGTGGGTGGCCCTAGCTTCCTGCAGCTGGGCCAAACCTGGAGCCTGGATCCATAGCCCTAGCCCCTCATTCATCCATGGGCCATTTCTATTGCCAGCTGCAGGCACCTGTGTTTATTTTTCTGTCCTCTCCCTCTGCTGGGATTGCTGAAGGCCTGAGCTGATGTGGGAGGGAGGACCCAGGAGAGGCAGTGGAAGCTGGGGGTGGGGTACAGCCGGAATCACCTCAGTCCAGGACAGTGAAACTAGCCCAGGCAGAAAAAGGTTTTGCTAACATCACCCAGGGAGTCAGTGGCAGGGCCAGAGCCCAGCGCTGTGTCCATTCTAGTCACCCTCCCCTCCCTAGCCACCTTGGTTTAGTTCTGCAAATCCTAAGTCTTCCCCTTCACAAGTGGTGGCCTGGAGGGAAGTCCTGTTTTCACAGGTACCTCTGGCTCAGCGTGTTGCCAGCAAGAACCTTCCAGCTTTGGTGAGCGCACAGTAGGAGGGCAGTTCATTTCTGGCTCTAGGGCGTATCAGCCAGCCGGGGTGGAACATACCTAGAAGAAGGCTGAGGACCTTCTTCTGTGAATTGGAAATCCGCAGGTGATCATGGTTGTGGTGAGGTATGGTCACCCAGGCCTGCAAATGACCAGACGGCCAGACCTCAGCTCCTGCTCAGAGAAGCTGCTCACCAGTCTATGAACTATTTGGAACTAGTGTGGACCAGCAACCGTGTTACATAGCAGCACATACCCACAAACCAGTGACTCAAGGCTGCCTGTCAGTAGCTGGTTTGCTGAGGGACTTGTTGATGGCCCAGTGGACATAGGAGACTCGAGTTCTAGTCTTGGCCTAGAACAGTGCAGTGCCTTGTGTGACATTCATTTATCCAACAAACATCTGTTGAACACCAGCTACTGTTCTAAGGAGTTTGGGATAAATCAGTGGACAAAAGAGACCAGAAACCTCTCACCTCAGGGAGAAGTAGAGGACAAGAAACCAGTGTGATAAATAAGTTAATTATGAAAACAGCGAAGTGCTAAGGGCCTGGCACCAGCACACCATTTCCTCCTCTGGGAAGTGAGGGGACACTCACTTGCCCCCTCAAGTAAGGTCCTTGAGGTCCCCTCGTATGATCCTGGAGGTCCCTGCAGGCTTGGCGTTGAGGGCTGCCCTGGCTCCTGGTACCTCCAAGCCAGCGCTCTTTCTGGGGAACAGGCTTCCGGTCTGTCCTGTGTCTGGAGACTAGAGGGTTTGGTACAGGATGCTGGGCCCTAGGGAGATTGGGTGCAAATTTAGATGCTACCAGTTACTGGCCCTGTGCCTTGGCCACATTGTTCAACTTGTCCGAGCCTCAGTTCTCCCTTCTGTCAGAGCAGGAAAAGAGGGTGTTTGTGGGGATTTGATGAACTAAGGCACCAGGCGAACATCAGCCTTTCTTATAGTGTTATCTGTCACTCGGGGGCCTCAAGCTGATTTTCTGACATCATGCTAATGTGTCCCCACCTTTCAGTTGAGTTAGACCTTGTCAGCCTCTTGAAACACCACTCTGGATGTGTGCATTTTCTCTCACCACCTCCTCCAGGAAGTCCCCCTGGATATGCATGTCCCATTCCCCTTTACTACTACTTTTTTTTTAAGTTTTTATTTTAATCACATGGTGTTCATCAGAGGTTCCTGCCCCTTCCCCAGAGTGACCTCACTCTTTATTTCCTTCCTGCAGACACTACCCCAAGCAGTCCTTCACCATGGTGGCTGACACCCCGGAAAACCTCCGCCTCAAGCAACAGAGCGAGCTCCAGAGTCAGGTGAGGGGGCGGGGTGGCACTGTGGCCTGGCAGGGAGGGAGGCCTGTTGTAACCTCTGCATTTGGCAAGGGCTCCTTCCTCCTGTGGTTACTCAGCAAGCCCAAGGTGCTGAAATCCTGGCACTTGCCTTGTCTCCCTGCCCCCACACCCCTGCGCCTGGTTACTTCATATTTCCTGATTTTTATCAAAGAAGTGGAGGAAGGCATGCCCCCTCCTCCTTCTACCTATTGTGGGTTGGAGAGATATGGATATCTGATTCTGCTCCAGGAATTCTCATGGGGCTTCTAAAGCCTACCTCCTCCAGGAGGGCCTCCCTGTCTCCCTACTCTCTACTCATGCCCTCTCTCAAAGGATGGGACTCACCTCTCCAGGCTCGTGCCAATCTGAGGTCAGCCCACCCTTTATGGCCATGTCTCCGAACCTCCTCCACCCTTCAGAGGGCAGGCTGTGGAGGGGGCCTTGCCCTGGGGCCTGTCCCACCTTTGTCTCCTAGGGCTTGGTTTTTTTTGAGCACCTGCTTTGTGGGGAGTGATGCCTGCCACTGTCGCAGGGGAGAAGATGGGCTCCTGCCCCAGGAAGGACCGAGTCTTTAGGGAACAGCGAGGAATAAGCAAAGAATCCAGAGCCGTGGGACCTGAACAGGTCCCTCTGCCTGGAGTTGTGGATGGGCTTCTGGGACCATCCTGGCCCAGATTGGCGGTGGGGGATGGGGGTGGGTTGAGGCCCTGGCAAAGACCCCCCCTCCCCCAACCAAGGGACTTAGCCAAGTGGACAGGGTGCCCAAGGCCGGGAACATGTTGCAGAGGATCCACCTGGATCACAGAGAGGGATCTCTCCTAATCCCTCCAGAGTGGGATTCCTGCTGTCTGATGTTAACATGACCTCTTGGGGTCCCTGTCTCCCAGGAGGTCATGGGAAGGAGAACCAGCCCTGTGCTCTCGAGGGCTTTATGTGCATTCTCTCATTGACTCTTCCTGGCAGCTGTTTTTCCCCTGGCGCAGATGAGGAAGCAGGCCCAGAGACATGAGGGGACTTGCTAAGACCATATGGGTAGTAGGGGTAGAATGCTATGAACTGCTATGGTATCGAGCGCCTCATGCCCTGGGTACCTCATGAGCCTGTGCAGTTGGCAGGGTCACTACCACTGTAGGGCTGAGGGAAGGGATACTGCTGACCTTGAAGGCTGGCTTGGCTAATTCTGAGACTTCTGTTCTTTCTAATTTTCTACCCAGCTCCCTAAGGAGAACTTATCTCTACCTTGATAATAAACACAGTAGTTCCTGGTGCTGGTGAGAACTTTGATAGCTTAGCAAGCACTTTTAGTTACTTGGCCTCATTCATCCTTGACCCCACTCCAAGGTGGGTGTCAGAGGAGGGACTGACGCTTTGCCTGTTGACACGCACAGTAAGTGAATTTTCACATGAAGTTTCCACTCCCAAGTACAATGACCTTGACCATGTTACAGTCCTGGCCTGACGTTCAGGCCTCCTGTGTGTCCCACAGCAGCCAGAGGAGCAAGTAGGGGAAGCTGTTTTCTGTCGGCCGCAGGTTACATCTGCCAACCTGGATGCTGACCTGCTTTCCGTGGAACCTGTAGTAAGGGGGAGCCGATGGAGTCCTGACCTCTGCTGGCTGAGGAGGCCAGGGTGGTCCAGGAGGCAGGAAGAGGGATTGAGGCAGTCCTGGGGCCTAGGGCTGGTCCGCACAGCGAAGATTTTGGTCAGACCCTAGCCAACAGCTGATGAGTGTCTGGGACTCCCAATCCTGTAGAGTCCCAGGGGGCCAGAGGTAGAGGGGGCTCCAAGGGGTGTGCAGGCCACAGGATCCAGGACGACCTATACTCACCCCCACAGCTTGACGGGGGCAGTCAGAACCCTGAGTGCTGGGGGCCCCACCAGAGGGACCTGGAAGAAGAGGTGTGGGGAGGGGACCTCAGGTCTTTGAAAAGGTGCAGGTCCCACAGGTGCAAGAGTGTGTGCATACTCAGGCAGAGGCAAGGGCAGGCACACACACGTGCGCGCACACACACACACACACACACACACACACCCCTATTCTCAGGAGGAGAAATTCAAACCCTGTTAATTTCCTTAGCCTTTGGCAGCACCACAAAAGCGTGGTTGTAGCTCTTTTTGCAGGTGGAACTAGGTCCCCCAGGGGTGGGGTCTGTAGGAGGAAGCACTGGGCTCGGGCTCGGGCATGGGCTCAGGCTTGGGCTCAGGCTCCTGAGTTCCCCTGCTCCACCTTCGCTCCATCCCCCCAAGACCTGGCCTCTGTGCTGCTTGCCTCCCGGCTTCCTGGGCCCCCCTGTCTTTCAGGAAGGCTGAGGAAATGGCGAGAATGGCAATCATTCTCCATTAGGTCCTCACTGAGGGCCAGGCCCTGACTGCATATAATCCTTGCAACCACCTGATGAAGGAGGGATTTTTTAATTCCCATTCTGCAGATGGAAACACAGGTTTAGATAGGCCATGCCACTGGCCCAGAGCCCAGTGACAGAGGCAGATTTTAAGCTCTTTGCTCCTGCCAGTTCCGTAGCCTGATGTGGCTGGCACCCAGCTTTACTCTCAGCCCACAGGATGCACGGTTACCGATGGGGGGAGAGGAAGAGAAAGACAGGTCGGGGGCAGGAGGAGAGAGAGAGAGAGAGAGAGAGAGAGAGAGAGAGAGAGAGAGAGAGACTGAGAGAACTAGAATGCGGATTCCTAGGCTCCACACAGGGGTTTCTGGTTGGCAAGTCTGGGCCATGCCCAGGAATCTGCATTTTGGCTGTCCTGGTGATTCTCATGAGCCTTAGGGACTTACTTTGAGAGACTTCGAGCCGGGGCTGAGGGAGCAGGCAGGGAGCTGGGTGGAACTGACCTGAGCTCGCCTTGCTTCTGCTCTGAGTGGAGTCAGGGCTCTGTGCCAAGGACACAGCTCTAACCTGCAGCTGGGCTCCTGGGGGCTGGTGGCTAGGGTAAGGAGGGTGGAGACCAGGGCCCTGCCTTCTTTGCAAGCCTGGGTCTGTCTTCCCTCTGCCTTGCCCTCAGCTCTGTGGTCTGTGCCTGGCTCCTGTCCCCTCAGAGGACATTTTTCCTCCCCAGGAAAATGGGGACAGCAAACCCCCTGTCGCCTGGAGGCTGGGGGCTGGGCTGATGCACTGAGGTTTGGAAGGGCTGAGTGGGCCTGGCCAGGGGTGGTGACAGGTTCTGGTTCCTGTGGCTGCTGTGGGGGGCAGGGCTGGCTAGAGCAGTATGTGGCTGGCAGGAAGGGAAGTGGGAGCCTCCTCTGCCTACCCAGCCCCACCCCACCAGGGTGTCACTTGGTCTCTTTCCAGAACCCCTTCCTGGCCTCATGGGTGTCTCAGCCCCCCTCAGTCTCTGGAAGCTGCCAGTGCTATTTCAACTTTATTTGTTTTCCTGTCTCTAGGTTGGTTCCCAAAGTGGTACTTTGGGTGTCTGGGACACCTGGAGCCTCCTCTGCGGGGGAGGTAACCACAGAACTGAACAGAAATGACCCTCTGGGTGGTCCTGCCCAGGCCTGGCTGAGGCAGGGAACTGGAGGTTGGGGCCCAGCTGTACTCTCCTCGCAAGACAGCTCCCCTTCCCCCAGACCCAGGCTGAGTAGAGGCAACATCGTTGGGGGGAGTCTCAGCTGGGAGTGTCTGTGTGGCCCCCGATACCCAGGCAGAAGTGCAAGGAGAATGCCTCTTTCATTCTTTCCCCTGTTGTCACACGCTATGGCACTGTGCAATCCCAGACTCAGGACAGCATGATCTGTCCCAGCACTGCAGGCGACATACTTGTGTCACTCCGACCTGCTGGCTGAAGGTCAGATCCTGGGTCTGCCACCACTAGCTGTGTGACTTTGGGCAAGATATTATACCTTCCTGAGCCTCAGTGGCTTCATCTGTAAAATGGGGATTACCTTTCTCCAAAGGTGGTCGTGAGGGGATAGTATGTATTATGTAGAATATATGACATTATGTGTTATGGAGAATGTTAGTATATCTTAGGCATTAAGAACAGTTCCTGGCATAGAGTCAGCGCTCAATAAACGTTCACTCTTAACTATTCTGGAAAGGAGAGGAAATGGAGCCTGGGCACAATGGAGCTGCAGAATAGACTCTGACCTTTTGATAATTGCTTCCAGCACTGACTTTTTTCATTCCTTCTCCTCCCCATCTCTAATTTTATTTTATTTTTTTAAAAATATTTATTGATTTGAGAGAGAGAGAGCATGCACACGAGCGGGAGCAGAGGGAGGAGCAGGCTCCCCAGAACAGGGAGCCAGAGGCAGGACTCCATCCCAGGACCCCTGGGATCGTGACCCGAACCGAAGGCAGATGCTTAACTGACTGAGCCACCCAGGAGCCCCTGTGTCTGTCTGTCTGTCTATTTATTTATTTATGATAGTCACAGAGAGAGAGAGGCAGAGACACAGGCAGAGGGAGAAGCAGGCTCCATGCACCGGGAGCCCGACGTGGGATTCGATCCCGGGTCTCCAGGATCGCGCCCTGGGCCAAAGGCAGGCGCCAAACCGCTGCGCCACCCAGGGATCCCTGTCTGTCTAATTCTAAAGCTGATTTCTTTTTTGTTTAGAAGGGGCTAAGTTACATAGTATGCAGGCCCAGCATAGAGAAGGCACATAGGAAGTGGAAATTATTGGTATTGTATTTTTTTTCAAAAAACAATTTTTGTTTTTGTTTTGCTTCGTTTCATACTGGTTTATTTAGGAGAAAAGCCTTTTTTTTTTTTTTTAAGTCATGATCTTTCCTTACCTTAGGTCAGCAAAGCAGTTACTTTCTAAATTCTAAATTATACTTTCTAAATAGTCTGTTCTGATGTTTTGTGTCTATTCAGTCCACTCATCATTCACACTGCAAACAATTATTTGTTCCTACTTTGCTGGGGTAAGTAATGAACAAGATAGTCCCAGGGAGCTATTAATACACGTGCATAGAGAAAGTAGAGTCTCACAGGCAGTGTCTGTGGGGTGGGAGGAGCCTCGGGCATCAGACTGGGCCCTGCCTTGGGAATTTTCAGGATGAGAGGCCCAGGTGTGGAATCATCCACCCACAGTGCAGAGTTACATCCTGCCCTTATGAACAACTGGGTTGAATGACCTTGGGCAGAATCCACCCAAGGTCTGGCTTGGCTCTCTACCTTTTACTTCTGCTACCCACTCCAGCACCAAAAGGCCTCTCAGAGACTCTTTCTCACCTTGATTATTCATAGTGAAGGCTGGCAGGTACTTAAAAATGATCACAAACTCTAGAGCTGGGTGGGGTTTTTTTTTGTTTTAAAGATTTTATTTATTTATTTAACAGAGAGAGAGAGCACAAGCAGGGGGAGCAGCAGTGGGAGAGGGAGAAGCAGGCTCTCTGCCAAGCAGGGAGCCCGATGCAGGACTGATCCCAGGACCCTGAGATCATGACCTAGGCCATTGGCAGACTGACTTAACTGACTGAGTCACACAACCACTGCTAGGTGGGTTTTTAGAGAGCAACTGGACAGCCCCCCACTCAGGGATCCAGAGAGGGGGACTGACTTGCCTAGTGGCACACAGCAAAAAGGTGCTGAGCCCCGAGCTCCCTCCATCCTTTCTGTCTCCATTCCACCCCGGCTCCGCCCTATCTGGCTGCCTGTGCCAGGAGTGAAATGAATTCTCCGTCCCCAGTCCCCAGCAGCGGGGGAGAGGCAGTTCCTGAGCCTGGGAACTAGCTGATGTCATTGTCGTGTCGCCATGGCAATTATTGCCCTGGATTAGGGGCCTGACCCTTGCAAGGCCAGGAAGTGGAGGAAAGAGTGGGGGTCTGGCACTTGTTCAGCACTTTAATGTTGACAAAACATTTCCACACTTGCCCTTATCAGGAGGTGGTGAGCCCTTCCTTAACTTCACGATGCTCTAGGATGCATTTGCTGTGTTTGAGCCACCGTCTTTTGGCTGCACCATTGACTGGAATGGCTGGTACTATCCCCATTAGACAGATTGGGAATGGAGGCTCGAGAGGTTGTCATTTGCCTACGATTGCTTGGCAGGTGGGAGACTGAGCACATGTTAGAACCAGGTCCCTCTGGCTCTTTGCCCAGCTTGGCGATGGGAAGTGCCCCCTCCCCATGTTTTAACTGATTCCTGTGACGACCCTTTTACAGATGAGGGATCAAGGCCAGAGCCCCTGAATTTGGAGCTTCTGCACCTGGAGCTACATTTTTCAGACTCTAATGCCTTCCTTTCCTGAAGAGTCTCCCTGCCTCCAGTACTGCTGTTCCAGGGCTTCCTGGAAGAGCTGATGCTGGGAGGGTTGCAGGGGATCAGTCCTCATATTTACTGCCTTAACTTCTAGTCTGATGGGTCGTACATCCAGGTCTTTGTTTTCAGTCTGGATCAGAATGAAGGAGCTTCTTAAAGAAAAGAAAAGAAAAGAAAAGAAAAGAAAAGAAAAGAAAAGAAAAGAAAGAAAAAAGAAAAGAAAGGAAAGAAAAGAAAAGAAAAGAAAGAAAAGAAAAGAAAAGAAAAGAAAAGAAAAGAAAAGAAAAGAAAACAAAGGAGCTTCTGAAATGAAACCTTTTAGGATATAGAACCCCATGGGTGGGTAGGTAAGCAGGGCTCTAGAGGGTAAACCAGGACCTCTGACCCTGGAGCAGTGCACAGAGGAACAGACAGGCGTGGCCGCGGATGCACACATTCATGTTGTCAGTTAGGTCAGGGGGCAGCTCAGCTCAGCCCTGTGGCCAGGTGACTTCTGACTCCATGCCTGAGAGCTGCCTGGGTGTCCCATCCTGGAAGCTCCCAAGGCCCTGGGCTTCATGTCCTGGGCTGACCTGCCTCCAGAATAGTGCGGCCCCCTGGAGGAAGTCCAGGCAGCTGGTGGGATTGAACAGCTGGTTGCAGAGGAGGACGGTGAAGTCTCTGGAAGCCAGGGAACAGTTGTCTGTCCCATGGGCATTTCCAGCCTCCATTCTGTTCTTTAAAACTCCCAAGGGGAGAACAGGATATTTTTCATATTTCAATTCCATTAGTGTTCGGGAAGTCCTTTCTTATGTCTGACTGGCATTCCTCTGGCACTTGAGTTTTTGTGGATTTCTTAGAAGAGGAAGGCAGTGGTGGAGTTGTAAGGGTTCTTCCCTGGAGCTCGGAACCTTGTCCTGAAGTCCTGTCCGTGTCCTACCATTTCACCCCCTCATGTGGCATTGACCTCAGAAGTGGGCCTGGCAGGCTCCAGGAAGCCACCGGGCCTGTCAAAGGCTCATTGATGGAGTCCTTCCAAGTGGCTCTCTCACCGCCCTCCTTTCTGGGTGCCAGCTTTGTCCCTTGGCACAGCCTTCACTCAGCTGGTCGCTTAAAAACTCTTCCAGGCTCTTGGTTGGTAGGGCCACATCCTGGCTAGGGTGAGGCCTGGGGCGGTCTTTGGGAGCTCTGGAAAGAACCTTCTTCCTCTCACTTTCAGGCAGGATAGGTCGGCAGTGAGGGGTCAGGAGTCAGGCAGATGAATGTTTGCACCCTGATGGCTCTGGAGGTGTATGGCCAAGCTCTGTGACCTTGGCAGTGGACTTCGCCTCTCTCTGGCTCAGTTTCTTTATCTGTAGAATGGAGCTAATACTAGAATACAGTAAGACTTAAATGAGATAATTCATGTAACGCACTTGGCACTCAGCATGCACTGAATACGTCTTAATGGGTTATTGCGGGTAGCCTACCGTTTTTTGGTGAAGGCTCCCGCTCTGAGTTCAGGGCTGGGCGGTGGATGCCATTGTGGGGGGATTTCCGGTCAGGGCCTTCCTCCCAGCTGCTTGCTGCCTCAGAGGCGGCCACAGGCCGAGGCCCTCTCTGCTGGCCCTGTCTCCACTCTAACCCGTCTCCCCTGCTCGGCCCTTCAGGTGCGCTACAAGGAGGAGTTTGAGAAGAACAAGGGCAAAGGCTTCAGCGTGGTGGCAGACACACCCGAACTCCAGAGAATCAAGAAGACCCAGGACCAGATCAGTAACGTACGCTCCCCTGCCCACCCCGGTGCCCACGCTGACCTGCTGCCCTCCCTCCTCGCCCCCTCCCTGCCGGCCTGGCAGGCGTGAGAGAGGCCGGTTCTCTGCTGCCCCTGCTCTTCTGGGCATGCCTGGGTGGCAGCTGTTTGAGCAGAGGGAAGAAAAGGTCTGGGATTCCCAGAAGCTTTTTTTTCTATGTACCCTCATATTTCTCTGCTTTACCCTGGCATTTCTACCATGAAAGCACTATTTTTTTTTTAAGCAGTGGTGGGGGAGGGTGTACAGGGAGGGCCTATGTGCTAAATCACTCCCCAGCCTCTGAAGTTTTTCTGTTGTTTCCCCCCCGGCTATGGTGGGTGTCAGGGTCCAGGCTGTTTTGTCTAAGCACAAAGGTCATAACTGGGTGGCAGGAGTAGGGTGGGGCCAGCTCCCACCCCCTCCCCGCTCCTGTCTGTCTCTGGGTGCTGATATTGCAGTATTTCCGCCCTCCCTCCGCCTCCACCCCCACCTCGGCTTGCTCTTCCTTCCTGTGTAAAAACCCCAGCCGGCTTTGCTGGCTGGCCCCATACCCTCTGGTCTGGCCTTCCTGGGCTGGGATGGTCAGCAGTGTCTGCCTATGGCAGCCCTGGATATAGAGTGGGCAGTAGATCGATGGGCCCATGGCACCCGTGGCTGGGGATAGGAATTGGTTTCCCGCTTGGCAGAGCCACGGACTAGCAGCCCATGTGTATCTGGGTTTGTGGGGAAGCTCTGGGTGGTTTTGGGCATGTGGGGGTGGAGCACTGCTGTGAGCCACAAGCACAGAGCATGGGCTGCAGACCCGTGACCCAGAGTCCTGGGGTACAGAGTTGCAGCATGTGGCCAGCCAGCCTCTACTGGGAGGTCCTACAAATGGAAGCCTGGGCAAACGATTGCCTTTATGTCTAGAACAGAAGGGAGTTGGCAAGTTGGCCAATGTCACTGAGGGCCTGGGTTTCAGGTGGTCCACCTGGCACCCATCCCCAGGATCCACATCCCTCCCCATTCCTCCTCCCCGGCCTGAGGTGTGGGGGTGGGGAGAATGGGGGTGGGGGTGGGGTGCTGTGCTCCACAGTGGCTCAGGTGGGTTTCAGAGTCTAGGCCAGGAGAACCATGCTCAGGACCCTGGCTTTTAAACTTTGCAACCTATGATATGAAGTACATTTCACTTTAGTGACCCTCCAAACAGGCGTGCTTATTTATTTAGAGAGAAAACCAAATCCTAGCTTTCATGAAAGAGCCCTTACTACTTGGAGAGCCTTTAGATATTTTCCATTCTATTTTATTTTGTAAAGATGCCTATTGCAGACTTAACTAAATGAGTAGCTAAGTGGGTTTTGCAACAAGACTGTTAACCTATAGTTTGAAATTTGTGGCTTGAGGAAATGGGAGCGCTTCCCTTGGGCTAGGAGGACTCTAATTCACCCTCCTCAACACACACACACACACACACACACACACACACACACACACACACACACGCACACATAAATAAAGCCTGTTTCAGTTGCTTCTTTAGAAGCCAGGGTCTGGCCTCACACCCTAGAGCTTCTCTGTCAAGCTGCCCAGACCCTCTGAAGGGTAAAGAGGGTTAAAGACCTCTGTGTCTTCTAGCTCTCCACATGGCAAGTGCGAGGGAGGGGGAAGCCTTGGGCAATGGGGAAAACCTGGAGTGGCTCACAGAGCTGGAATCTTGACTCTAGTCTTGGGGCCTTTCATTGTGAGGACACATGCTCTCATCTACAACCCCAACACCCCAGCACATTCATTCATTGCTTCCAGTCTGTGGGTTTTAGAGGCAGAAGACAAGCAAGCCCAGTCATCCCTGTCTCCCTTTCTGGAAGGCTTCCAGAATATTCCATACCCAGTTATTGGAGGTGTTACTGAGGTGCTCTGGTAACAACTCACCGTGGCCAAGACATCTACACCTAAGGAGATAACCATCTTATCATTAACCACTGGGCTGCAATTAGCTGATTGTCCTCGGCTCTGAGGTGGAGGAGGTAACTTGAACCTGGCCAGGTTTTGCTTTTGCAGCTTTAGCTAGGACATCTGAGGTGGACCACAAAGCTGGAAGACTCCCGTGTCAGGCTCCCTGCATGGAGCCTGCTTCTCCCTCTGCCTGTGTCTCTGCCTCTCTCTCCCTCTCTCTTTAATTTTTAAAAATCTTAAAAAAAAAAAAAAGATTACTTATTTATTCATGAGAGACACCAAAAGAGAGACAGAGACATAGGCAGAGGGAGAAGCGGGCTCCCTCTGGGGAGCCCGATGCGGGACTTGGTCCCAGGACCCGCGGGATCACAGCCTGAGCCAAAGGCAGATACTCCACCACTGAGCCACCCAGGTGCCCCAACATTTTATTAGAGAGAGAGAGAGAGAGAGAGAGAGTGCACGCACACCCATGAGTAGAGAGGGGCAGAAAGAATCTGAAGCAGATTCCACACTGAGTTTGGAGCCAGATGCAGGGCTTGATCTCACAACCCTGAGATCATGACCTGAGCTGAAACCAAGTCAGACTCTTAACCGACTGAGCCAGCCAGATGCCCCAATGTGGGAGGATTTTTTGAACATGTAGGCTCACAGGCAGGCTCTGCATAGGTTGCCTGATTGAGCATCTCTGGGAGTGGGGCCCAGGAACCAGCATTTTATTTCATTTAAATTTTTTGAAAATATTTATTTGTTTGTTTGTTTGTTTGAGAGAGACGGCAGTGAGAAGGGCAGAAGGAAAGGGAGAGAATCCCAAGCAGACTCCTTACGAGTGGGGAGCCCGACCTGAAACTCCATCCCATGACTCTGAGATCATGACCTGAGCCGAAATCAAGGAACCAGTATTGTAAACACATTTGCTGGGTTTCTGTGGTGCTCGGTGAAGTTTGAGAACCATTACTTAAAAGCCTGAAAAAGCTACACCCAGCCCTAAGTCAGAGAGTGCCAGACCTGGCCACATCCCCAGACTCTAAGGGAACTTGAAACCATGCTTAGAGTCATTGTTAAGGTGTCCCAACCTCCAGAAGAGTTTTGGCAAAAATAGTGTTTAGAGAGCCACACCTTTTGGTTTGTATCCAAAATAGTGTCCTAGATGTAGTTTGTCCCTCACCTCTGCGGTCAGCACCCAAAGACGCCTAGCTATTTCCAGAGAGGTCAGACCATCTGGCTTAGAAATGGGATTTGCCTCCCCAGAGGAATATACTCCAGATTAGAGGATTTACAAGCAAGAACATTTTGAAAAAGTATCTGGTCTCCCCAGGTGGTGTTTAAAGGCTTTGGATGTGTGCAGTCTATGATCCGTCAGATCAATGTTGTCAATATAATTATCATTCCTGTAAAGGCAGACCTGCCTGCTTTCCACATTGTGGCTAAAGAAGAGGCAGGGAGTAAAGCTTTGGTTGAAAAGTTGGGCCATTCATTGTCTGGTACTGAGAATGTGTGAAAATTTTTGAGGTGGGGTGCTCGTAAGTTATGCTTCTGAGGTGACTGTGTCTTCGTTAAAGGCATGGAAAGGGTTGAGAGGCCAGGGCCTCACGTTCTGGAATATAGTGTATCCTTCTGGACTCCTGGCCTTTGGTCTTGAGCTCTAATGGCTATAATGCACTAGGACATTTTCATGACCGAGACCCTTTTATGGGAACCCCTGCCTCCCAGTAGAGAAGCTCTGCTTTTGTTTACCCACATATCTGCTTATATATTGATTTTCTATCTACAATTCTGTGTCTTTTTCTGTGAAATGTAACACCCAGTAACACACACAGTGAACACCTGCGTGCATACTCACCGTGCAAGTCAAGAAACATTACCGAACTCCTCTTCCCCCCTGCCCAAACTCCCTTTTAAAATAGAATTTTTAAAGTGCTAAAAACCTTACTCTCATGCAGCGAGTACCTATCATATATTTCACTGAATTCTGTGGGAGGACAGGGCAGGCAGATGTGAGGCCTAGCAAGTGAAAGAAAGTGCTGGATACAATTAGACACAGAACTGGCTAGTGCCCTGCCATTATCAGCAGAACTGGGTAATGTTCTACAGGACCATAAAGTCATAAACTTTGGGAATGAATATCTTTGCCACAGGCAGAAATGCAAAGCATTTCTAACAGTGAAAAATAATTAGCAGCACATATTCTGTAAGCTTCCGCCTTTAGAGGCTGGGCCTAATTGGTAGAAAATAGTAAAGTCAAACAAAAATTCTATGTCCAGGGTCAAGTGACCTGGAGACAGGCTTGTGGAACAGCCCTACTGTAGTTTTTGAAAACATCTGCTGTGTTTTTATTTTTCTAATTTTGATATGCAACTATGCATTCCTAAACACCATAGTTTTGTTTTCCATGACTTTGAACATATACTAGTTATTCTTGTTGTGTCTTTCTTCCTTTGGTCAACAGTGGGTTTAAAATTCATCTACATATTTGCATGTAGCTATAGTCATTCTTCATTGCTGTATAGTATTCAACTTGATGCTTATACCACATTTTATTTATTCTGGTGTTGGACATTAGATTGCTTCCACACGCTGTGGATGTTTCCATACATATTCCCTGGTGTATGTGTGGAGTGGAATTTGCTGGGTCTTAGAGTTTATGATCGTTCCACCTTACCAGATAATACTGATCTATTTTTCAAGTGGTTGTACTGACTTAACTTCCTGCCAGCAGTGATGAGTTTCCATTGCTCTACATTCTTAGCCTTACTCACTTTAGCCATTTTTAAAAATATATTTTATTTATTTATTCATGAGAGTGAGAGAGGCAGACATAGGCAGAGGGAGAAACAGGCTCCCTGTGGGAAGCCCGATACAGGACTCAATCCCGGGACCCTGGGATCATGACTTGAGCCATGCTCAAGCACTGAGCCACCCAGCTGCCCTCACTTTAGCCATTTGATTGGGTGTAGTGGTATCTTATTGTTTTGGGTTGTTTTTTTTTTTCAGATTTTATTTATTTATTCATGAGAGACAGAAAGGTAGAGACACAGGCAGAGGGAGAAGCAGGCTCCATGCAGGGAGCCCGACTTGGGGCTCAATCCTGGGTCTCCGGGATCATGCCCTGAGCTAAAGGCGGCCCTAAACCGCTGAGCCACCCAAGCTGCCCTGGGATTTTAATTTGTACTCCTCTGATGACTAATGAAGGTGAACACAGATATTTTGTTTGTTTTATAAACAAAATATCATTAGTCTGTAATAGGTAGCGGTATTGCATGGTAGCTGAGAAGTAAGGATGTGATATTAGAGCTGGATTCTGATAACCCACCACTTACCCACTCTGAGCATTGGTTTCCCCATCTATAAGAAAAATGGGGTTGATAGTGACACGTAGTTGAGGGCTGGTGGAGAAAAGGAAATGAGTCATCTGTGTAAGGGCACAAAACAGGCCCTCAAAAAGTGGGAGACATTGTTATAAAAAATAGCCCCTGCCCAGTGAGTGGATGATTCCATTCAGAGCCTAAGTTCCCTTGCTGACCATGATGTGGAATCATGTGGCGGCATCGTGCAGTGTCAGACCTTTGTTTTCCGCCATAATCAGGAAGCCAGGGGTTCAGAAAACAGAACATTGGTTAGCAGAGAAAAGGAGTTTCTTGATTTAGCTTTGGGATGGACCCTCCGCTAGTCATCCTGGAGTCCTGGCTAGCAGGGGCATGCGCCCCTCCACCTGCACGCTCTTGCATCTTCTGGGCATAGGACGGGGTTCAGGGGACCCATTACAGTTCTTAAGCTGAGGCCATACTGACACCTCTGGGCTTCTGGTGACCCCTAGCAGGGCTCTTGGGAGATCAAACTGCCGACGCTATTTATTTATTTATTTATTTATTTATTTATTTATTTATTTATTTATTTATTTATTTATTATTAGAGAGTTATAAGCACGTGTTATAAGCAGGGGGAGTGGCAGAGAGAGAGAGAAGCAGGCCCCTTCTCAGCAGGGACCCCAATGTGGGGCTAGATCCCAGAACCCCAGGATCATGACCTGAGCCCCAAGGCAGGCACTTCAACCGACCGAGCCCCCCAGGTGCCCTCCTAGCTTCCCTTTAGTGTATCTATTTGCTTCTCACACCATTCAGCCAGTCGGCAAAGAAAAATACAATTTTCTCATATTGCCGTGGAAGGGAGGAAGAGGAAATGGAGTGTAGTGGCATCTTATCCCAGTTGGCTCGGACAGAGGGGCTGTACCCCACTTTTTTTCAGCCCCCTTATCCCTACCGTACTGCCTCTCCTCTCAAAGTTAGGGTGACCTTATAGTAATCATCACTGTTGCGAGTGAGAGGTGCTACTCAGATTTCTTCCACAACAGAAGACATGAAGTGGGACGAGTGGCGGACTTGGGTGTCTGGTCACCATGCTCCGCACCTGCCCCCAGAAAAGGGCCCATCTAGCTGTGACTCTGTCCCTGTGTCACCAGCCTCAGCCCTTACCCAGTACTGAAAGCTCTATCTTGGGAAGTCATTTAACTTCTGAGCACATTTTCCTCCTCTGTAAAGTGGGAATTAAAGTGTACCTGTCCAGCTTCTTTATGAGGGGGTGATTATCACCCGGGCTGAGGGAGATAATGTGCAAAGGGCCTTTATGCACTCAGTGTGAATGACGGAGCAAATGTGAAGGTTATTAATATTAACAGTAACAGGTGGTGTGTACCTTGGTGGGGGGTGGGGTTCTCTTGTGTTCAGGCTGCCACGACTCCAGCCATCTGACGCAGCTGGCCCTAATTTTATAAATATTTACTCCTGTGTAGTGACTTTGTAAGGAACAAGATTGATTCTCCCAGCCACTCGTGGAAACACGCGTGTCCATACCTGCTTTCAGCTTGTGAGGGAGTCCAGTTTGGTTCCTAGACCTGGTCCGGAGCCTCAAGACCTCCTGGGAACAGATGGTACCAGGCCCTTGTTTACAGAGCAAGAAACTGAGGCCCAAAGGGGTGGAGACTCTCCCAGGGTCACATGAGTTAGCAAAAAACTGATGATCTTCCGGGGATGAGGCAGGGGTGGGGAAAGGACTGAATTTCTAGGACACTGATGGGGGACACTAGGCATTGGGTCCTTGGTATGAAAAAGGAGCTGGGACCGACATATCCTCTCCCCAGGGCTCACCATCACCCTCCACACCCTGAGAAGGGGGCTGTCACACAGGGAAGCCAGGCCCCCAGCAGTAGGGACACCTGCCCCCCCTGCCCCCCCTCCGTCCGCTTCTACACATGCACTTCCCCTCCCCTGGTCACTGACTCCAGGGTTAGGCCTCTTTTCTTTCACAGAAAGTAAACACAGGAAGCTGACCTTTCTAACCCCTAGGACAAAAGTCGGAAGGGCAGTTGCCTTGTGAGCCTAATGACCTCAGGAGGGGTGGCCCCTCTTTGTCGCTCCCCCACCACCAGTGGACTAGGATCACTGAGGGAGTGAAGCTCAGGGACACTCGCCTTTTGCTCTGTCTTAGGAATTTGAGAGCAGACCCCTGGCCTTGTGTCTGAAAACTTCCCTCTTGGGTGCCCTTCCAAGCAGGAGTTAGGGGAATCCGTGGGTTTCCAGGCTGGCCAGGCCTGGCTGCCTCCCCGTGAGGGATGCACTCAGCCCATTTCACTACAGGGGTGTGGGTCCCTGCTGGGGCATGAGAGGAAAGGGCTGGTCCTGCCCAGCCCCTAAGTGAGGCTTTGCTGCTGCCCTGCCTGTCTTCCCAGCCCAGGCTGTGGTGAGTGTCATTTAGCCAGTAGAAGCAATGCGGGTGTTCTAAACGGCCGCGCCTGCAGACCTTTAGCCCAGCTATTAAGTGTGAGCCCCGCCTGACCAAATGTTAACTCTTGCTCTCCTTGCAAAGTGAATGCCAAGGAGTGGGAGAGAAGGCAGCAGAGAAAGTAGGAAGAGATGGCCAAAAGGCACTGCCCTGGCCTGGGACAGCTCCCATCAGGCCTTGAGGCACAGAATCACTGGTTCCTTCTGCTCCAGATAACAGGGCAGGCTGTGCTCTTCTCCCTTCCTTGACAAAGAGGGAGCATCCTGCAGTTGCGGTCCCACAGCGTGGGGTCCTCAGTAGAGCTCTGTGAAGTCAGGTCCACAGAAGCAGAATTGCCTAATGATTAAGAGAATCTGCATGATCTTGAGCAACTCACTTAGCTTGTCAGTGCCTTCGTGTCCTTCTTATCTGTTCAGTGGGGACCCCCTCATAGGTGCTGACAAGCCTGTGACGTAAAACACCTAGTGCAGTGCCTGGCACCCAGCAGGTACTCCATGAACAGGTGTTTTTGTCATCCTCCAGCAAGGCCTGAGGTTGACACCGATGTCCCATTTTACAGAGGTGGAAACTGAAGCCCAGCAAGGTTAAGTAGCATCTCCAAGAAGCTCCGACAAGAATCTGGTTCTCTCTGCCTGTGGCCCTCAGCAAGTCTCCTCTCCTGGGAGCTAGTAAATGGCAACAGGAAGGGAGATTTGGTCCGTCTGCTAGAAGTCCTTCACCCAGTACTTTCTGCCGCTGCAGATAAAATACCACGAGGAGTTTGAGAAGAGCCGCATGGGCCCCAGCGGGGGCGAGGGTGTGGAACCTGAGCGCCGAGATTCGCAGGACAGCAGCAGCTACCGGCGGCCCCAGGAGCAGCAGCAGCCGCCCCACCACATCCCAGCCAGCGCGCCAGGTGAGCCTGAGGCCTGTGGCAGCAGAGGGCCCGAGACCAGGCCAGCCGAGGGCTGGGGAGGATGCTGGAGGAGATCACCATGTCCATGCACACCCGTACCTGTGCTCACACAGAGTCTCAGGCCCCGTCCCAGCAGGGGCATGGGCACCGGGGGCAGGGTCTGTGCTGGGTCCCGGTGTGTTGCCAGAGATCCAACCCCCTCCACCCCACCCCCCCGTTAGAGTACACGACACCAGGAGATGCGCGTACACACACACAGATGAGCCTTTAAGTGGGGGCCGAGCAAGGTTGTGGGGGTGGAAATGCATGATGGGGGCTTCGCAGGGGAAGAAGGGGGCTCCAGGAGGGATTGGGTTTGGCAAGATGGTTTCTGAATCCCGTCTCCCCCCCCCCACCCCCCCAACATCCAGTTTACCAGCAGCCCCAGCAGCAGCAGGTGGCACAGTCCTATGGTGGCTACAAGGAGCCCGCGGCCCCAGTCTCCATACCACGCAGCGCCCCAGGAGGGGGTGGGGTGAGTAGCTCTGGCCAGAGGGAAAGAGCCTGGAGCTGGGAGGTCAGGGGGGTGAGGGAGGGGGTGGGGTCAGAAGCCTGAGGAGGCCAGAGGTAGCTGGGCCCAGGGACATAGCTCCTAGATTCTCCTTAGAAATCCAGCCAGGAGTCCTGGCTTCCCCTGACCCTTGACCCCAGCTCCTGTTGTCCACTGCAGGTGATAGGGATCACAGCCTCTGAGCAGGTGATAGGGATCACAGCCTCTGAGCAGGGGATGTGTGGTTAGTGGACAGAGCCCTGGGCTGGGATTGGGGCCCAATGTTCCAGCTCTGGGTGTATCTTGGGTACCTTTCCAGCTCCCCAGGAGCACAAGAAGCACCTTTCTGTCCAGGGCCTTCCAAACCTTGGCACCACTCCCCAGTCTTCATGAGGGTGACCCCCCACCCCGCAACACGTCCTTCAGATCTCAGCTTGCCCCTGCCTCTGAAGGGTTCTCCCAAACCACCCCCGCCATTGTCAAGTAGATCTCCCCTGACATCTCTATTACTCCACCCTGCTGGTTCTCTTCAGAGCACTATTCCCAACTCAAAACTGTTCTGTCTGTGAACTTCAGTTGCATCCCCTGCTGGATTTGAGGCTCTGTGCAGGCAGGCAGTGTCCTTTTGGTTCAGCTACTCTGAGCCAGGCACAGAGTGGGCACTCACTGACATTGCCAAGTTAGTGATGAGCAGAGTGGGACAGGTGTCAGGATCAGGCTTACCAGTCCTTAGAGCTGAGGTCCTCCAATGAAGGGCATTCTGAGCCACCCATACTGAGCTCCTGGCTGAGCTTGGCTCTTCTGTGCTTGGTTCCTGGGAATTCAAAGTAGCTCATGTAGGAGCAGGAGAGACATGCTTAGAGAAGTAAAATAGCCCGAGATACAGGCCTTCCTGGAGCCTCATGCTCTGGACACAGGGCAGTAAACAAGGGAGTGGCCATGCTGTGTGGGGTGCTGGGCAGGACGGAGAAGTCATCTGTAGGATAAGATTCTAGATAGGCCAGCCAGTCCTTCAAATACTTGCTAAACCTGTCTTGGACATGAGGGATTTGTCTCTGAATAAAAGACCACCATCCTGCAATCCTGGAGCTTATATTTCAGTTAGGGAGACAAAAAGGCAATAAGTAAGTAGGTGTATAATATAAGGTCGGATAGAGGCACATGCTGTGAAGAAAAATATGGCAGGGCAATGTGAGGGAAAGCAGCAAAGTCCTCAATAAGATGAAAGAGTGAGTTGTTGAGGAAGAACAGCAACTGCAAAGGTCCTGGGGTCAGCAGGAAGGCCAAAATGGTTAGGAGGGAGGAGGTTAGGAGATAATGTCAGATCACGCAGGGACTTGTAGGCCATAGGAATGCCTTTGTGATTGCCGAGCTATGCAGAGTGACAGGTTTTGATTTATGTTTTTTAATTTTTATTATTTATTTATTTTTTTTAAAGATTTTTTATTTATTCATTCATAGAGACACAGAATGAGAGAGAGAGAGAGAGAGAGAGAGAGAGAGAGAGGCAGAGACACAGGCAGAGGGAGAAGCAGGCACCATGCAGGAAGCCCGACGTGGGACTCGATCCAGGGTCTCCAGGATCATGCCCTAGGCTGCAGGCGGCGCTAAACCACTGAGCCACCTGGGCTGCCTGATTTATGTTTTTTTAAAGGGTCACTCTGGGGTGCCTGGGTGGCCCAGTCGGTTAGCATCTGCCTTGGGCTCATGATTCATGATCCTAGGGTCCTGGGATTGAATCCCACATTGGGCTCCCTGCTCAGTGGGAAGTCTGCTTCTCCTTTATCTCTGTCCTTCCCCTCTGCTTGTGCCTGTTCTCTCTCTCTTGCATAATAAATAAAAAGAGTGAAAAATAAAGGATCACTCTGATGGCTGTGTGAGAAGAGGCAACAGAAGGTTGAGGGTGGAAGCAGGGAGATGAGAGAGGAGGCTGTCGTAGGATGGAGGCGTAGCTGGTGGCAATTCAGCCTAAGAGATAGAGGCAGAGCTGGTGATAAGAGACCAAGGTCACTTTGTGGGAGGTGGGGGGTGTGACCTCTTCTCCCACACACAGCCTTTGCGGCTGATGGAGCTGGCTTCTGCTGCTTGAAAGAAAGTTTGCAATTTGGTACTGGGGTGCCAGGCTAGCTCAGTCGATAGAGCATGTGACTCCTGATCTCAGGGTCTACATTAGGTGTAGAGATTACTGAAAAAATAAAATCTTAAAAAAAAAATAGAAGGAAAAAAAATTGGTGTTCAAGAGCGTGGGACACCTCTGAATGCTTAAAAGCCAGGGAGTGACATGATCAGGTTTGCAGTTTGGAAAGATCCCCGAGATGACAGCGGATGAACAGATCAGAGGCCAGAAACAGAAGGGCTGAGCAGGGGTCCTAGTGGAGTGGGACTGTGGGTGTACACCTGGGAGGTCCAGAGGGGCTCCTCCAGTCCCGGATCAGTCTGCATTCAGGTCCCAGGGCCCGGGCTGGGGAGACCACAGAGGCTGAGCTGACCCTCCAGAGACAAGTCCATGTAAAGGGCGGTGAGGACGTTAGAATCGGGCCCTCGTCTAAGACCACAGGAGGACTGCAGGTGCTTCGCTGGCCGTTTCCTAGGCCGGGGCTTCAGCGGACGATTTTGGCTGAGGTTTGAGGGTGGAACCTCTTGTGTCACCTGGAGATGTTTCTCCCCAGAATAGGTCTTGAAAACACTACCGAGCCCTGTAGTCATTGGACCTGCTGCATTCCTGTCGCGAGAGGTGGGGCAGAGCTGTGACCGTTTCAGGCCCCGTCCTGGGCCTGGCCCTTAGTAGACGCCAGATAGTTGTGGAAAGGGTGGTGGGTCTCAGGTAGCGAGAGGCAGAGGAGAGAAAATTCGTGGCAGAGCCTTCCCTGTCTCCCGGCCCCTGGTTCGGCCCCTGGGCCCCTGGTTCGTGGCCCATCCAGGCTCTGTCCCATCCTGTGGGGGCAGAAGGAAGGGCCGGGCCAGGCCCCTAATTGTGTCCCCCACCCTGCAGAAGCGGTACCGCGCCGTGTACGACTACAGCGCCGCCGACGAGGATGAAGTCTCCTTCCAGGACGGGGACACCATCGTCAACGTGCAGCAGATCGACGATGGCTGGATGTACGGGACCGTGGAGCGCACGGGCGACACGGGGATGCTGCCGGCCAACTACGTGGAGGCCATCTGAGCGCCTGGCCCGGCCGCCCTGCCCCATCCGTCTTCAGTGCATTCCACGGCATCGCATCTGTCCTGGGCGTCACCTGTCCCCCCTTCACTGTCTCTGTTTGTTTGTTTTGTTTTGTTTTAAATCTGCGACAGCTTGTTTATTCCCACCCTCCTCCAGCTTTTGCCAACCGAAGCCTTGTTCTGCCACTTTCGCAGGCTCTTCCTCTGGCAGGTTTTCCCTTTGACCAACTTCTTGGTTTTCTCTCTGGATGGAACAGGTGTGGACCTCTCCGGGGGAGGCTGAGGCACAGGGAGCGGGTCTGGAATTGGAGACCCATGGCTTCTCTCCTTCCTGCCCCCCTCCGACCTCCCTGCCCTCCTCACACACCCCAACTTTCCAGGACTTCTGGGGGAGGGGCTCCGTACATTCCCAGAGTGGGACCCCACCACCCTTGCCCCTGGGAAGGGCTTGGCCTCTACTTCTCAAAGACAGGGCTGCGCCCCCCCACCCCACCCCACTCTCCAGGACCACAGAGGAGGGTACGTTCCCGCTCTGGGATCCACTCGTCCCTCCTCATTCGTGTTCCTTCTCACACTGTGATTTTGCTCTCGTGCCCACACACGGCCGTGTGGGCGAGGGGCTCCCCAGGAAGCACGGCTTGGGTCAAGTGCTCACCTTTCTTACTCTTAGGGACAGTTGCAGGAAGGAGGGGAACGGGGTGTTCTCTCCCATAGCCCTTTTCATTCCTCCACCCCCAGTCTCCTGGCCCCTGAGCTCTGGGCTACGTAGGCCCCTCCCCACCCCACTCCCCGTGGGAAGATGTCTCAGGCCTCCCACGGGCACCCCTCCTCGGCCCAGGGCCAAGTGGACTGGAACTGTGCGAAGCCACAGGGCTTTCTGTGTCTCCAGGACTCCGCATGTGGAGGAAGGGGTGCATCTGTGTCTGACGGGCTAGCTGAGTGAAGCAGTCAGGGTCCAGGCCGCCGGGAGCCCCTGGGCTTCTGCGAGAGTTCACAGAGCCGTCTCCCTGCCATGGCTTCCTCAGAACCCACAGTGGGGGAGAACCCTGGGGGAGAGACGTGCCTCGTGGTTTCTGTGGAGTGAAGATTCCTCCTTTCCTTCAATTGCCAAACAGCAGAAGCCCACCCACCTCCTGCCCCTTCCAGACTGCTGGCCAGAGGTAAGGGGGGTGGTCGTGGGGTTAGCGAGGCTGATGTTGGGGCCTGCAGTTTGCTGGGGTCGGTGGGGCAGGCTTCGTGGCTCTAGGCCTCTTTCCCCCCATCTCTGTGTCCTGGGCTGCAGACCGCCCTGTGTCACCCGCAGTGTGGGTGCCTCACTGCCCTTTCCCACCATCTCCCCGCTAACCTAACACCCCCTTGAAGCAGAGGGAGAAGGTCCCAGGCCTACAAAACTGGAAGCACAGACCCCGGGATGAGGAAGGGAAAGATGGTGCTATTTCCAAGTCCCTTCTCTCGTTCGCTGGTGGCTGTGACGACCCTTGCTTGGCTTTATTCATCTCTGGGCTCTCTCAGCATCCCTCTGGGCTTCCCCCTCCCGTCTTCGCCTCAGCCTCGACATCTTTGCCTCCTTGTCCCGTTGGGAGAGGGAGGACCCTGCAGGCAGATGCGGCAATCAGGTCCTCACTGCTTGGGAGTCAACCTTGGAATATTTACCCCAAATCAGAAGGTTGAAGAAATGACTGTGGGGGGAGAACTCTCCCTGGCCCATCTCTCTTCTCTGGCCCCGACCTAGGCGAAGGCAGGTGGAGGGGCTTTATGTTGAACAATTTGGGAGCTGAAGGAGGCAGAGAGGGAGCAATCTGGGGAGCTTTGAGAAGGGGGCACCAGGCCATTACTTTTCCTCTTGATCTCAAAGCACAATTTGGATTTGGGAACCAAGGTCAGAGACCTGTCCTGTTGCAAGACCTGTGGTTGGGAGCCCAGTGAGGCAGGAGGAGAGCCTGGAGGAGTAAGAAGCAGCCTGTCTTCCCTTAGCTTAATTTTTCTTCCAAAACAAGGCAGGCCAGCCACTGGAATCTTGCTGCCGGCCACTCTACTCCTCCCGGCCTAAAAATAGGGGACCTTTTTGTACACACCCCCAGAGAGAAGGACTGCCACACTGGTGCTGAGGGACTCAGAGGCTGCTAGGAGTCCTTGCTCCTTTCCAGAACCATCCATTCCTAAAAGAGCACAGAACTGAGGGCTGGGCCAAGTCCCAGGTCTTTTCTTACAGTTCACAAAGGTCTTTGGCCAATCTAATCCCAGGAAAGCAGATACATCAAAGCTAGAATGTGACTATAACTTTAGTGGACCAACCAATAAGAAAATACAAGAAGCCCAATGGTGAGAAAAGTGAATTTGTCACACTGCTTCCTATTTTCTTCCTCATGTCCCTCCAGGGAAAACTATTGCTTAATTTCTGCCTTTTTCCTCTCACATATGCACTTTTGGGCCTTTTTATTTTTTTTTTAAGTAGCTGGAAAAAAAAAAAATACCACCCCACAAACCTGTATTTAAAAAGAAACAAATGACCATGTGAAATTTGCCTCTGTCCAAACATTTCATCCGTGTGTGCGTGCGTGAGTGTGTGTGTGTGTGTGTGTGTGTGTGTGTGTGTGTGAAGCCGTCCGTTCATCTTTTTATATGGGGTGGTTGTCTTTTCTTGGTCTGTTTGGTCCTCTCCCTCGTGGGCTTGTGCTTGGGATCAACTCTTTCTGGCCTGTTAATGATTCTCGACATTTGACTTGGACCACAAGTGAATCTTTCTCCTGGTGACTCAAATAATAAAAGTATAATTTTTACCTGCGGACTTGGTTTTCTCTCTGGCTCTGAAGTGCTGCTGTGTGTGCTGTGCACGTGCGCCATTACCCCGCGCCCCACTCCCCCCGGGAGTCCTGCTGCCCCCCCTTGAGGAGATGATGCCCCGTTGGAGAGCTGTCCGCCTGAATGGAGCAGCGGTCTGCTCTGCGATGGGGACTTGGCACCTACTTCCTTCTCGTGGAGAATTCTTCCTGCCAGTCTGCTCCTGACTACAGTTTGAGGCCCAGCTTGGTGACATCTCCAGAAGCTTCCCTGATCTGTGTCTCCCTCGTCCTGTCTGACTTCCTTAGTTTGACCCACCACTGTCTCCACGAGCCAGTGCACTCACGGGGCAGGTAACGGGTCTAAGTCATCTCAATCTCCAGTGCCTGCCCTGGGCCAGGCTCATAGCTGTAAAACAATTCTTTGTTGCACTAATGCATGAGCTCAGCCCGGGGAGAGGAGCAGGTTTAGCCCTCTGCCACTGCCTGGGACGCGGGAAGAGCTTGGTGCTGTGTGAGGAATGAAATGACAGGGAAAGTCTGGGTGGGGTAAGACATGGGATGAAGCCATCTTATGGGGGTGGGGGGGCATCTGGCAACCTAACCCACTCAGAAACTGAATAACTACCACCATGTCCATCCCACTGGTGGGGTTCTGAAACCCGGGGAGGGCATGGTTTGGTGGAAGTTGCACAGCCAGGGGCAGGGCCAGAGGTCTTAGGACCCCCAGTGCAATGCTCACAACAGCCTCAGGCCATGCCACCTTGCCCCGTGGGCCCTGCACCCATGCCCTTTGCACCTCTCATCTCTGTATCCACCTCCTGCTCTGTCCTTTGCTCCAGGTGCCCTGGGTCTGACCTCCCACCAGAAGGCCAGATGGCCTCTCCCTCTTCTGCGGGACTGGGAAGGGGACAGTGGTAGAGGAATCTGGAGCCGCCCCTCCCAGGGTGGTGCTGCCAGTCAGCCTCCTGTCCAGGTGCTTTGCAGGGGGGGCATTTCCCACTTGGGGCTCAGGAGGGAGGCATTCTCTGGCTTCAGGCGAGCAGCGGTGGAGGTGGAAGGGCCCTCTCTGAGCCTTGGTAATGGGGAGAAAGAAAGATGCGAGGGCTGCAGGGCTGCAGGGAGTGGTGCAGGGAGCATCCGAGGCCCCGGGTGGGATAATTAAAGACAGTGCCGACACCCACTCCCTCTTGAGCGGACTGAGCAGGCCGCCTAATATTTTCCCAGCAGAAGGGAATGAGTTGGCAAATCTTCCCTCCTGTTGGCCTGCCCCCTCTGTCTGCCTAGCAGCAGCCCTCCCTCCCTCCCTCCCTCCCTGGAGGCTTCATTCACCAGAGCGATTGGAGGGGGCAGTCAGCTTGGGAGGGAATCCTTGCCTCCACTCCACTCCCTGGTCACAGAAAGCTCTGGGCCCTACCTCCTGGGCACAAGCCAACAGGAGGGTTTCCAGACCCCCTTCTAGAAGCCGCCTCTAGCATGTGGAAGGGGGTCACTTATGCCCCCCCCCGCACCCCCCACCTGCTGGGCTTTCAAAAGAACTGTTTAGAGTCAAGGACATTCCCTCATTTTACAGAGAATAAGTGAAACATAAAAAGGCATAAAAACAACACAAGACATAATTGAGTACCCACCACCTAGATTAAAAAAATAAAACATTAATTCTCCATACCTCCCAGAAGGCCTCTCTTGAATTTGCACATCTAGACACTCTCACTGCACAGGGATAGGGTCCTGGGAGTTGGATGGTATGCTCTTCGGGTAGAACACTGTCCTGAGCTCCCCAAGGAGGACAAAGATTCTGGTGATGACCACAAAGAGCCTCGGAATAGCTGGAGGAGAGAACTCCAGGGCTCATAGTGTATGCGGAGTGATCTGAGCAGGGCAGGCAGGGCCGAGGGGGCATTTCAGGCTAACAAGGTGGGCCAGTCAGGGGGACAGGAGAAAAATATGGACTCCTGGGGCACCTGGGTGGCTCAGTGGTTGAGCATCTGCCTTTGGCTCAGGTCGTGATCCTGGGGTCCTGGGATAGAGTCCCCTGTCAGACTCCCCGCAGGGAGCCTGCTTCTCCCTCTTCGTCTCTGCTTCTCTCTCTGTGTCTCTCATGAATAAATAAATAACATCTTAAAAAGGGGAGGGCGGCAGCCCGGGTGGCTCAGCGGTTTAGCACCACCTTTGGCCCAGGGTGTGATCCTGGAGACCCCGGATGGAGTCCCACGTCGGGCTCCCTGCATGGAGCCTGCTTCTCCCTCTGCGTGTGTCTCTGCCTCTCTCTCTGTCTCTGTGTCTCTCATAAATAAAGTCTTTTTTTTTTTTTTTAAAGGACTATGGACTCCAGAGCGTGTAACCTGGTTGCCTAGGTTAAATCTTGGTCTCCCCCCTTCCAATGAAACATCAGGCAAATTCCTGACCATCGCGGAGCCTCATCTATAAACAGCTTGCAGGGAGGCTGAAACTATGTGTGCAGCACCTGGCACAGCACAGGTGTGCTCCCACCCCAGGGGTGCCACCTGAGACTCAGAAGAGACCTCCGTCTATGTCCCTCCATAGCGTGACCCTTACCACTTGCCCATGGCTCACCCAACTCCCAGCCATTATTTTGCTGAGCTCATTTGCCAGGGATGTGTTAGAGGAAAAAGGCAGAGAAGGAAGGCAGTCAGGAGGCTTCATTCCTAAGGGATCCGGATAGAGATCAGATCTCCTCCTACGTCCCTATCATGCAGACTCCATTTAGATACAAAGAGGTGGGATTGGGTTCCTGGGGAGAAATTGAGCCTCTTCGCTACTGCCGGGTCTAAATCGAGCAGTGCCTTGGTTACCCCGCTCCCGGGCCTTGTGATTGGTTGGCTGGGGGGCGGCGAGGGGGGCGGCCAGTAGCTGCTGATGGAGCTGCAGCATCTTAGTCTCAGGCCTGGGAGGGGGAAGGGAGCGCAGTGGAGGGAGGAGGGAGCCATTTCTCTCCACTGGCTGCAACCTCCCAGCTCCCAGCTCCCGTCTGCCCGGAATCCAGAGGCCTCCTCAGCCCAGGACTCCATAATGCTGGATATTTTCATCCTGATGTTCTTTGCCATCATAGGCCTGGTCATTCTGTCCTACATTATCTATCTGCTCTAGTGGTCTGCAGCTGCGCCGGGAGCCCTCAGAACAGCTCAGGGGGAAAGGATGAAGCTGACTGGCCGAGCATCCTGCTTTGCTGACGCACCGGTGGATTTTTGCTTCTGGTCATTATTTCGGGTATTGATTCAAAAACAAAATTGAAAGAGATCTCGTTATCCTATTTTTTTTTCTTCCTCAGATGCATTGATAGAGCCTTTCTCAGACCACTCTGAAAAAGAATAAGAGATGCCAACCTCTTTCTTTGAGACCTAATTTAAAATAATGATTTTTTAGAATGAAAAAATAAAACCCCCAATGCGAAGGATTTTTAGATAGGACGGGTCGGGAGTGGTGTGCTTGGGGGGTGGGACTATGATTTCCTAGTTTTTTTCTTCAAGTGAGGTGCTCTGGCTCCAAGTTATCTTTTTTTCCCCCTCTCTCTCTTGGTAATTAAAGGTAAAACACATCTTTATATGTCAGCAGAGTGGTTTGCAATTACGCTTCCATAGTTGCATTAATTAGTGACTCATTTTCACTTGAAGATGAAGTGGCTAATGAAATGTACTTGGGGGTGGGGTCTGGGGGAGACGTGTCCATTCTTTCCCAGCTGTGGGGTTTGGTGGCCGGAGAGAGGAACTACTTCATTTGTTAATCCATAGCCAATACTGGGCTGCTGATAGCGTCACCCTATTTCCATCTGAGTTTTGTTTCTGGGTTTCCCACAGCTCCCGGTCTCCAGTCCAGCCAGAGGCCTCTTATCAGCAGCAACAGTCCTGCTGCCCCGCAGACCTCTTCCAGAGCCTTCCGGATATGGCTAACCACCATCGAGCAAGGGGCTTTCTGAGCTCCAAGGCAGAGGCCCTCATCTGGGACCTCAGGAATTCGTGGGCATGGCTGGCAGATACTGTGTGTTCTAACTGTAGATAGAGGGTGTTGAGGACACAGAGCTGAAATGTAGACTCATTAAACTTACCATGGAGAACTGCTCAAATATTCATTCTTGACAGCCTTTCTTTAGGTGTAAATGCAACATATGATGCTAGAACATGTTCTTTCCTTTCCGTTTCACACGTAGGGGGCCCCTTGTAAGTTCAAGAGCATCGTCTATATTCATCTATGAAGCGGTCACTTTATCACTCTTTGCAGACTGCACCGTGTGAGCTTGTGTGGTATCCCTTGTCTCGCTCTCCAGCCAGAAGGAACTTGTCATTTGAATTTTTAAGATTTGTCATACTTTCTTCCACTCCATACCACTTGTGCCCCAGCTTCTCGTTTCAAGAGAGAAATTGTTACATAATCCTCACTGTTGTGACTAGCTGAATTATAAATTATAGAAATAGGGTAGCTATACCTCATCTCACTTGTTATTTGGGGAAAAATCTCTCTCTTACTCCGAAATAAGTGTGTTTTTTTATATATTGTCAAATGTTCCTTGTCTGGAAAAAAAGCTTTCAACATTTTTTTTTTTTTGTCCAATTAGGGTTGAAGAAACCATATATTTTAGAGTCCAGAGTAGATTGGGCTCTGTAATAACCAGTCCTTTGAAAAGTCCATCATCATTGTTCTACATTTGATTTTCCTTTCTAGCTTAAAAATAAACCAGGAGAAAGATTAACTTAATAGTTTTTATTTATAATACTGTATTCAATTTCTATGTCTTAAAAGGAAGTGAAATTGAGGCACTACAATATATGATCCAATTAAAATGGAAAACTTGCATTTTAAAATTCTGGCCAAGAAAAAACACTGCTCTAGAAGCATTGTCTTGGCAATAAATGAATGACCTTCAATAAGTCATTTAGCCTTCAGGGTTTCTGTTTATTCTGACAGATGAAAGGATTGGATTAAAAAATTGCTATTTATTTATTACGTTATTTATTAAATTTTAACTTAATTTTAACTTTAAA